CTCGATGTGTGAGCTGAAGAGCTGTCTTGCGAAGGAAAGTCTTTGGAGAAGAAGCAGTTATCATCTGTGGTGCTGGCTGCACTGCTGGGACAGGGTGAGATCACGTCCCCAAACACACTGGCTTGGTCACTATCATCTGTCATCACACTCCTGTAGCTGCTGTCACTGGAAAAACGCCGGCCCAAGCGCCTGATGGGGGAGCTCAAAATAGCTGTGGAGTCTATCAGGAGGTCGAGACTGCTGTCGTTTAAATTACCTGAAAGCACAACAAAATCCCAGTTAGCTGATAAGAAATTTGTATCAGGAAGCTCATCAGCAACTTCCGCTGTATGTTTATCTGTCAGGGGAAGGCCATTTGAATTATCTGGAGTTTACACATCAATTCACATCATTGATGGCACATGCTTCAGAGAAATGTTAATGGCTGTGAGAAAGGAAGTGCTGTGGTCTGACAGCTGAGCATACTTCTCACCTCGCATTAGACGCTTTTCCTGTAAATTAAGGCCCTGCAGCTCCACCAATTTCTCACGTAGTGATTGCTGTATGGGCAAAAAAGGCAACAAAAACATTACACTTGTGCTTCCAGTAAAACTCTTAACTAATTCACTGAGAACATTTGCCTACAAAGATATTTGCACACAATGTCCATGCAGAGTATAGCCTGAGTAATTCAGCTGTGCAGCTGCAGGTTAGAAAGTATTGCTGGGGGCGTTTGAGGCTTCACTGCTGCATGGCTTGGTGACTGCTCTTTTTTTTTCTTTCCCTACATCACACAGCTAAATGGTGTCACCATCAAACACAGACAGGATTTAAGAGACTCACCTTGAGGGCGTCCATCTTCTTCTCCAACTCTATCTGCTTCACTATATTCCCACAAACAGTCTCTAGTCTGGAAGAATATATAACACATAATTACACTCTGTTATAATCCTATTATAAACTATTGTTATAGTGACTTTTTAGTTATCATCTGTTGTGCTTTTTTTTTTCTAGCAGTATTTAGGAAGTTATAAATGTTGTCACTCACTTTAGACAGTTGGTGGATTTTCTTATCTGATCAAGCACGCACTGGTGAGATGAGCCTTCAATGCTGAGGCCATTGACCGTGACAATTATATCGCCTGTAAAAGATAAGGATGCAGAAATATAAGGAACGAATTGGTTATGATTACACAACATAGCTGTAAACTGCATGTGCACATCAGTGCGTGAGATTGCAGGCGTAGGTGTGAAGGCATGTAGGTATTCACATATGTGTTAAGCGATATATCTGTCAATCGTCACGCAGCCCAAATGGGGCCTATACGGTAGAAAGGATGTGGGCGGCTCACCTGCGGTCAGGCCAGCACTCTCAGCAACACTGTCCTCGTTCACCTTGCAAACAAACGTGCACATCTCCACTGCAGGGCTGTTTTTCAGCTGCAGCCCGTAAGTCTGCAAAGAGAGACAAACGTGTCACAAAAAAGCGAGCCAAAAGCAACCCTTTTTTTCCCCCCTACACAACTTAAGCATGCTTCAGTGTTTGCTTACCTGAATTTCAAAACCAAATGTCTCATTGTCTTGCTTTTCCAAAATAATCGTGGTTCTGTGCAAAAGCAGAAAAAGCAAACGACTATTAATTAATATCAATTTTTAAGAAATGTAATAAACTGTTCATGCACAAAAAGTCCAGTAGACAGTTTTTCTTTTACACGTATAAAAGGAAAAAAGATGAAAAGTTGCACATCAATCCTGATATATTTACCGTTGTGGGTCTGTGTAATCAACCAGTGAGTTGGAGTAAGCCGGCTTGGACTGCAAACAGAGAGATGCAGAGTTCCTCTTTAAAAACAACAAAGGGCACTTTTTAAACTTTTAATCCTTCCTAGAAAGTATAAAAGTGTTGTTTTTTAAAAATAACAATAGAGATTTAAAAATTATTTGTTGAGCTGCAGAGAGCTGCTTTGTTTATTTCTCGTAAATTGGTGAAACTATATCACATTACGGCTTAAATCTCAGCTGTAATCCCACGTTGCAAATCAGTGTTTCGGTTATTTGATTTAGACAGCAGAAGTCTGAGTATTTACTGATGTGAAATTATAAACACACATACGTGTATTGCACTTGACATATTGTCTCACCTTGCAAACTCTGGGCTGTGAGCCAGTGCTGTGACGGTGCCGATCACTGTTCCCCCTCAGTGAAGCTCGGTACCACAGAGAACTTTTCTTCTTTGGGGTATTATCCAGAATGTAACTCTCCTGGCTGCCCTGGCGCTGAAGTCCATTGATATTCATGATGGAGTGCATGGTAGAATAGTCCTCAAAGCAGCATTGTGTCCTGCTGCAGCAGCTCTTCAGCGATTGTGTGGTCCTGCCCTGCCGTGCAGCCAAAAGCAAATGCATCAAGCGGAAATCCACATCATGTGATAGCTGTGGTAAACCGCATCTGCACTTCTCAGCTTCACGTACCTTGTTTCCTGTTCACCGCCTTTAACTTTTTTCTGTCTTTTCTCAAGAAGTGCTTCTGTGTTGGTTTGAAAAGAAAAAGCAAGGAGAGTGTTTAAGCTGTTTCTTTTTGAATTCCCCTTCAAACAGTCCCCTTTTCTTTTAGCAGTCTTTGCAATTTGATTTATGGTCTGTCAGAAATCAGCAATGCATGAGAAACTGGCCACCTCACCTCTCCAGCAGCACCTGCTTCCAGCCTCACTCACTCTCAGTTTTGTCAATGGGGCTAAGCCTGTGTTCTGTGCTCTGCCAAGCAGGGAGACTTGTCTTATAGGGCCAGACAAAAGGCTGATTTAGCTCAAGGCCAGTTTCATGCTTCCTAAACAGACAGCACGGGTCATTGGGCCGAAGGCATCAGACATGGTTGGATCAAAAGAAAAAAAACACACACACACAGGCAGGCTGGCAGGCGTGCAGACAGTGGTTAAAGAAAACTAAGCTATGGTGCACAAACTTCCTCTTTCTCTCGCCAACACCATTGCCTTTAAAACATATACAGAGTTGCTTTACACTCCATTGTATAAAGCCCATGTAAGAAGCAGGCTGCCTTACAGCAATCCACTCTGCCCCACTGACCCTCAGGAACAGTTTGCTAAATAACCACGAGACCGTCTGGACACTGAAGTCCCGTGTGCTCCATTCAATCCATTACTTGCATAATTGGGTTGGAAACTGATTTATGTAGAGTATCAAAATCTTGCACTACCCGTCTTTATATTGTACTTTCAACAACCCAGAGTTTATAGCCAGGTCATGTCCTTCATAACATGCAGTACCAATTTTAAAGCATGTGATTGGCAATGGTTAATTTTTAAGCACGACGTTTATCCCAAACATTCATCCAAATGCAGTGAAAGCATATACAAAGACACAAAATTCACTACATTATTGTACCTGGTCCTAAAAAATCTTTGAAACACAGTGTCTTACCAGATGCTTACTCTGGATGGCATTCCCTTAGCCTCCAGCAACACTCTGAGAAATCTTCGAGTCCTTTTTAATCAGGATATGTCCTTCAGTGAGCACATTAAACAAATATGTAGGACTGTCTTTATTCATTTGCGCAATATCACTAAAATTAGAAACATCCTGTCTCAAAGTGATGCTGAAAAGCTAGCTCATGCATTTATTCATGACTGAAAAGCCTTCAGGTGATCCAGAACAGCCAAGAGAGTATTAACTAGGACTAGAAAGATATTGTCCCATATTCATTTCACTTCACTGGTTACCCTTTAAATCCAGAATCAAATTTAAAATCCTTCTCCTCAGGCCCCATCATATCTTAAAGACAGTACTTTTGGTTCCTAGGGTATTTAAAAGTAGAATGAGAGGCAGCGTCTTAAGCTATCAAACACCACTTCTATTAAACCATCTCGCAGTTTGGATTCAGACATCTTCTCTACTTTTGAATGTGTTCTTAACTTTTCCATTTTTACAAAGCCTGTATTTCAGATTGAAGTGACCATTCCTTCGTCATGTTGCAACAGGCCGCTGAAGTCTTTCCATGATGCACTGAACATTTTTTTGTTGTTGTTGTTCAAGCATCTCTTCTCACTCTGTGTTTTTACACCACTACTGTATTTAACCATTAGTAATTATTAAACTCTGGCTCTCGTCCATAACGTGCCTTTTGACTTCTCTATTTTATCTCTATCACCTTCAACCATAAGGGGAAAGAGATGACCCGTTCTTGTTTCTGAGTAATGTAGTTAATGACTTTGCTGAGCGCAAGGCCGGAAAGATAAAGCTCTGGTGGGTTAGTAGTTCATGATTTTAGAGATGACTGACACATTGTTGACACGCATTTGTTGAAAATTTGCAGTCACACTGTGCGTTATGTGTATGATGTATCTAGAACCTGTTCCACAGGAAATGATTGATGAATGATGAATGAGTGTGATTGTGGTGATTGCTCGTTTGTCCCTTGCTTGCTGTAATGCTTACATTACAGCTGTCTTTGTGTTAATTTAGCAAGGCTGGGTTTGTTTTGAGCTTGTAGCCTGGTGGTGTGACTTTATAGCAAAAGGTTGAATAAACGTGTCTGTTCCGCTGATGGTGCTGATGAAAAATTAAAAGCAGCTAAAAATACTTTTAAAACCTAACTTTTAAATTCTTATGTGCGTGTTTTGATGCCCCGAAGTGACACAACGTGACCTCCTCTTACATGACAGCCTTCACTGTAAAAATCTGTTAATGCAACACAGAAAAAGGGGGTTGACTCATCCATGTAGCGCTGATGGCTTCAGTGTCAGCGCTTTATTTCCTCTGTCTAACGGACATTAACAGCGTATGCAGAAAGAGCAGCAGAACAGAAACGCAGATGAGTCACGCCAGTTGAAAGTGCGAATGGGAAGATGATAAAGAAAAAAAGATCAGCTTCAGATAAACGGCTCCGGGAAATTCTGCCCCTGTAACTTGCGCAGTTCTGCACAGTCATTTCTTACAAAATTACCCTTGAAATGTAGGGAGAGCAAAACATCCCATCTTTCTGTCAAAGTCATGAATGATGCTCAGTCAGTGAAAAAGTTTATTTACCCACTGACATCACATTTTATATGGATAATAAATAGTGCAAAAAGAGACGACACAATGCAGTATGAGGAAGTAACACAAAACAGTTTTCGATACATCAAACATGTATATTTAAATGATGGCGGGCTTAAAATCAAAAGTAGGTCTTACTTTGTTTAAAATTCTATATTATATGTGAGATCAGAAACCAGAAATTGCACACGGTGATATGCTTTGCTATCTGCTTTCTGTCCCTTTTTGTGTCTTCATAGAGAAGCAGATAAGACACAATACAGAACATATAAATAATAATAACATTCTAATTTTCAGTAATTATAGAAAAAAGTACCTTATAGTTTTACAGAAATAAAAACTGAAGACTTGCACATTTTGCCAAGAGAGCAACAGGCTACTGTACATAGCTTATTTTCAGAGGCAACACTGCTGATACTACATATTATTCAGTCATTCTGACAATAAGTGCTTTCATACTGCAAAATAGGCGAACACTGATACCAAGCACAGATATTGAAGTATGTCACTTGTCTCTGAAACTAAAAACATGAACATATGGACAGGATGTGAATGAAAAGCCTCAGTGTATATTTGTTATGTTTCACAGTTTCACAATCACTACACCGATTGTTCAGATTATTTCAATCCACAGCTTTAAATAAGGAGTCACTTTGCATGATTTCAAACACACATGCAAGCACACCTACACATGTGTGCACAAATCGTGTGCAGATTCAGATTTCTGCACTTCCTCTAAGCCTGTTTATGTCGAGGCTCTGTAGGCCATGTTAGTCAGTGGTGCTAGTGATGCTAATGTGAACCCATATTCAAACTGTGCTCCCCTTATGTGGTATGTAAAAGTAATCAGCAGCATGTTGCGCTACGTTTGCACCTTCGGCAGCTTTTTTTGCCAATTTCTTTTTCACCTAATGCAAAAATAAGTCAGGTTTATATAAAAACAATGGATTTGAATTATATATAGGCTTTTGTTTAGATGTTTTATTTTACATTTATCGGATAATTGCTCGTTTTTGTTCAGCAGCAGAAAGCTTTTTTTAGAAAAAGAATAGAATAGACATTCATAGATTTTCTTATCTTTATATTAAAAATATGTATTTGTAGTGATTTTTATGGTTAATCAAACAATGTCAGAAATATTTCTTTGTCGGGATAAACTTTCATTAGTTCAAGTTGCACTCTATATGCTGAAATACCCTTTTCATGTAGTGACCATTGGCACCAGTGGATGAAAAGTTCATCACTCCATTACATTTCTTCTGCTTATAACACCCTTAATTATCCAATTCCTGTGAGTTAATTTTTCATTAGCAAACCTTGGATGCATTGAGCTAAAGATGATCTTTTACTTGTAAGCTTAGTGCTTTGTGTACATGAGTGCCGGTCAAGCAGAAGCACTTCTGATTAACAGGGAAAATCTGTATGTGTGTCTGTCATTAAAAAACAGTCAAACCAGCTGTTTTGTTTCGTTTAAATCCAGTATCCTACAAGATTGTCATTTAGCACATTAACTACCCAGCAATACTGTATTGGCTACAAGATATGGCACAAATATCAATGTGCAACTTCAAGCTTTGGGCACTTATGATACTGAGGTAGCAAAATAATCTATTTATACATCAAACACGACTTATTTATAATGGCTCTTCCTACCAAGAGTTTAGCTGTTTGGTTAAAATGTTGCTTCACAAGGTGTCTAAGTGCAAAGCTTTAAAAAATGACTCCTACAATACTTTGGCACCAACGACGACACGATGAAGCTCTCCGACGGTGTGGGGGCCGTCTCGGGCAGTAAGAGAGGTCAGTTATTTTACACCAGCGCCAGCACCAGTGCCGATCTGCAGAGCAACAAATCTAACTATTCTTTGATGTCCTTGATAACGGATAGCTGAGACAAGGTTTTCTTGACCCGCAGAGCAGTCAGTCGCGCAGCAGAGTTGGCGTACCAGCACTCCCTCATCAGCTTGCCCATCACACGCAGAGCCTGGTGTAGCAACGAGATGAGATGACGTTATAAGTTACAAAACCCGGAAAATCACAGGTCAGGCTCCAGTGTGTACTGGAATAACAAATATCAAACATCTGATCTGAACAGTTTCACCGGTAACTAAACATTCAATCCAACCTCTTTGATTGACTCTGTAGAAATATCTTTGCAGCCTTTGCAGTGGTAGTAATAGTTTTTGGTAGCTAAAATTGAATACAGTGGTGTGTCAGAATAACGCCCAATTCTCTTCTGTCGGGAAGTGGTTTAACAAGAAATGAGATCTGAGACAAAGAAGTCTCAGACCTCACCCTGTTCTGTCAATCACTTTTAGCCCATTACCCGAGGCCTTGAAGATAACCACTGCTATGTGTGTCATCCCTCCAGTGCCGTCCTGACTTCTTAAATATCAAGTTTTCTGTACATTTTAAAAAGCTTTAAGAGAATTTCCACTTTCATATGGCTGTAATATGTATATATTTGAATCACCGAGTTGTCTGATGATATCTGTGACGATAGTGAACAGTGTCCACTAAAGTGCAACTCCCCCTGAAAGGCAAGGGCTATACTACAACTTTGATGTTTTTTTATTACATCATGCTGACATCAGCCTATCGAGGTCAAATGCTTAGCCAATCATGGTACTCGTGTCCTCCAAGGCCTAGCATATTGTTTGAAAGTTTGAAGACGAGCCATAAAAATTGTGGGTAATAAAAAGCTCTTACTGAGTTTGAAATTTGGTGCCTTGACCTTGACCCGATTTTCCCCAAAATGAAATCAGCTCGAGTTGTTATTGGTATCTAATGTCACACAAAATTTTAAAATGATACATTGAAAACTGTTGACATTAGACTGCTAGCAAACAGACAAATGACATAATATACTCCCTCCCTTCCTGGTAGAATAAAGAAATCTCCCTCAAACTGGCAAAACTTGTGATGTCATGATGCGTTGTACACAGGAAAAATTACGGTAAATTTATTGACCTATGGATAAGACTGAGGTAGTAGTTTGTGGCCAGAGTGCATCAAGCATGGAGGGTGATAGCTATTACCTATAACCTCAATAGCTGTTACATGAGCTCCTTATGTATAAAGTTGGGACAACAGACTAATCTTTGACAGCCACCTCAGCTTAAATAAGCATGTCACCTCAGTTGTGCAGCTTGGTTTGCAGCTTACAAGACTCAGTAAGATCTGCTCAGTTTTATCTAGATAAAATCTAGACACAGTCATATACATGCTTTAAGATCCCCTAGATTATCTTACTGCATTTCTCGGTTCACACTAAAGCATATTTCAGATCTCCTGACATCATTTGCTCGTCACTGTGACATCGATCACTCTGGAAACAGTTATAAAACCATTTCTAAGGCATTAAGACTCCAGAAAATCAAGGTGCGAGCTGTTATCCACAAATCGAGAAAGCTATTGCTATTACTTGGGTTATTGTTGTCTAATATTAATTTTTTTTGATGATCTAAAACATGTAAGTGTAAAAAATATGCTAAAAAAGTAAGAAATAAAGGCTTTTTCTCAAACTATATATAAATGAAGTTGACAAAGTTTAATACTGTCAGGAGCACACACAAAAGTTTGTTTTTAGCATGTAATTTGTTTAGTTTTAAACATGCTCATGCTTTGATACAGCTATTTCATATGTGACACTGTAAATTTTCCTATGTGGTTAGAGGCTGTTGGTTCACTGATGCTCGGTTTGGTGCTAAACTGTGACTAATCGTGCTTTATGTCACCATGACACCGGCTCTTTGACAGCTATCTCACATAACGACACATCAGATTTCTGTCTCACCTCACAGCTCTGCCACTGATTGGGAATGCTGGGTCTGAGCTTCTGATCGCAAACCACTTTCCTCATGTCCTCAATGGATGGATCTGAAGGCACCATGTCATAATAAGGCAGCTGAAAATCCTCATGAAGTCCTGTGAAAATGCAAAAAACAAAAAAGCATTTTGTTTATTGTCTGGGTTTTTTTTACAGTTTCATGTATGCACTCTTCTTGAAGCAGTGCATGCTTTTCCTTTTTTCTATGATTACATACTGTGGTGATACTCAGTGTAATGCTATAATATGGCAGCGTATGTGCAAGTAATACTTGCGAGCCACAAGTTCAGGCCTTAGTTAATAACGTTAATATGGCCGCTCATTTCAGACAGCCTGCACTGAGAGTCAGTATAAGATTTTTTTCAACTGTGTATTATGCAAAGCAAGTCTCTCACAGTCGCTCCCAAAATAAAAGTATTGTTTTGGAAATTTGCATGAAACTTGTGGTAGAGTGTATGTGTGTGTGCGTAGTTTGAAATACCCCTATCGGAGCATCTTCTGGCCAGTTCCCAGAACACCAGGCCTAATGAATAGATATCCGCCCGCTTAAACGACTCAAAGGTGTTTATATTGATTGTCTCATCCAGGATTTCTGGAGCCATGTACCTGCAGAGGACAGAATGATTACTGTCTAATGAAATAAAAAGCCCAGTACCTCTTGCAGTATATACTTTAACGAATTTGTTTGTGTGGGTTGGGTTCAAAACTTTCTCACCCAAATTCTAAAAATGTGAAACCACAGGTCACATCACCCTCGTCAAAACCAGCAGAACATATAAGCTGCAGGACATGCATCCGTCTTCATTGCTGAAGACAGCAAAGATTCAAGTGCTGCTCTTGTAGGAATGGTTATCACTTTTTAAAAGGACAAATAATATATCATCTTTAAAAGAAAACACAGCACTTACTCAAGCCTTATAGACTGACCAAAAACAAGTCCACAACCACTAGGAGTCGCCAAAGCCTAAATGCTTGAGAATGGACTGCTGCTAAATAAATACATTTGTTTTTGTACTGTTTACAGTTGCATCACTGCTGTTTGTTCTCTCACACCAAATAAATTGAGATTTCATGACTTTTACTCAGCATTTTTCTCAAACGGGCTGTGTGAACTGTGTGCACAGACACTACATGATGATGTCTCCTCTATAAAGAGTATTATTTATGCATCAATCGGGGGGGAAAGCTGTTCTACACATGTGTTCCTGCACTTTTGACCTCTTTAAACTTTGTCCTTTCCTCCATGCATCTTGGAAATAGGTGAAGCTGTGCCAGAAACCCCTTGTGCAATGTGTACATACACGGCTAATATTACTCTCTAAATAAACAAGGCCAGTTATTCCAGCATGACACCTGGAGGGCCTTATTTGTTACTGTGGGTTCTGCTTTTCTTGCTGAAACCAAAACCAAAGATGCTGGCTTCCTCTTAATGTTTAAGGGACAATTAATAGTATTACTTTAAAACACACCGACATGAGAGAACAACTCAAAATCACCAATAATATTTAAAGAACATGGAAGTGATTTCGGTTTAAAGGCACTTCAGTTTAATTTCACATTTCTGTTTTGTGTGTGTTTTTTGTATTGTGACATAAATCCAACCTCTTAGTTCCCACTCTGTGGTTGGATGGTATGTCTATGGTGTTTGTGCTGGAGTCGAGTTTCACGGCCAAACCCAAATCTGCAATCACCGCCGTCCCGTTCTTCTTCACTAAGACATTTTTAGATTTTAGGTCTCTGTGAGCAATGGCTGGCTTCCCTAGAAGCAAGAAAGTAACAATTAAGGTTATTCTGGAAGCCCCAAAAATGTTCTTTATATTACAGCAAATATTTTGGGTCTTTTAGAGATGGATAAAATTGAGGATCATTTTCCAGCCTTAATGTCATAAAATGTCACCTTATCATATCACAGCAGGGTTTGCCTTGTGGTTACACTGTAGCACTGAGTTGATTAGCAAATTAATGGTCAGTCAATGGAAAATTTTTCTTCAGGTTTTAATATATAAAGATATCGCATTGAGATATAGGAAGCACATGGCCAAAATACATTTGCTCCTTTTAATAAGATTAAAGGATATATATATATTAAAGGAAATAGAGCACCCTTTGAGCTTCTCTGATGTGACTTCACTGTCCTAGAATTCAAGTTCTTTATTTACTAAGTACATTCATACCCTGTGTGCCAATGATTTCCATGTGGAGATGTGCCAGCCCACTGGCTATGGACAGAGCAAGAATAATCATGCCTTCCACTGAGACCGTGTGCCTGTTCAGGTAATCATACAGGGAGCCGTGCTCATGGTACTCTGACACCAACCAGAGCTGAGTCCATGAGCCGTTATCTGCAAAAAGGCAGCGAATGACAACGTTATATGTTGGCGAATTTATTTCATAGCTTAATTTGTGAATACATTTGTATTTAGTGCCTAGTTGTAAGACCTTTGTTATCAGCAGCAATAAAGCCCAGGATGTTTTCGTGCCTGAGCATGACAGTCTGATAGATCTCAGCTTCACGGAACCACGAGCGCTCGTCCCTGGAAGAGAAGATCTTAACTGCCACGTCCTCGCCCCTCCACTTGCCGCGCCACACCTCGCCGTATCGACCTTTTCCGATGGTCTCCTGCAGGACGATGGTTCGAGCTATGGTTCGCTGGACCAGCAGTGGCAGCCCTGCAAGATGCAGACGGGAAGAGAAGAGCAGTGGTTTTGTCTCAGCAGATCATAGCTGGAGGGATCAACAAAATGTGTGCAATTACTGGATTATACTTGTACCACAATGGTCACAATCCGGGCCATCGTGTCAGTAACCATGTGACAAGTTCAAGCAGTTCTCTCACCTGATCCTGAACCAGAAGTGCTCATGTCATATATCAGATCTTTGAGACTTCTGTCAGGTGACATTAGCAACTGATCATCCAGAGGCTCCTCCGGGTCCTGCTTGTGGGATCGCCTGTAGGCACAACGGTGGCCCTGCACAACAAAGACGCCTAGCAGGATCCCTACACACAGCAAGCAGGAGGGCACCAGGATCACCACGATGAGCTGCAGCCTGCTCCAGCCGGGTTCTTCTGAAGGCCTCTCTGAACAACAACATAGCCAATATTATTAGCGTGTAGTCCTTTTCTAACATTCCTAGTACTTTTTTTTGGTTCAATAATCAGTAGAATGTAGAATGGGGTAAGATTTGAAACTGTGTTTAATGGGTCTAAGGTCCCTGCTGTGCCTGCTGCACACCCTGGTGGTTACTAGAAAACATGGCAAGCAACAGCATAGGGGGCAATTAGCACAACTCAACACATCAGGTGTTACATAAAACTCCAGCTAGCATAGATGAGTCAGCTTTTTCAGACTTTTAGAAAAGCTCAGCAAAATTAAAACACCACTTATTCTGCAGCCCTAAACTTTAGAGAGGTGGAAATTGAACGTTTGGCAGATGCAATGTTTTCTTGTTTTTCCAGCGTGTCTGAAAATTTTCATCACTGCCTGTAAGTGTCATTAATCAAAAAGGAATAAAGATATTGAATCTTTTGGTGCCAGCAAGCTTTCACTCCTCAAAAAATACGTGCAGTGAACTAATCAGCAACAGGTGCACCGTCAGACCTCGCAAATAAAGATCTGGGCTTGGCAAAACAAAATAACTTGACGTTTCTGTCCCTGACCTTCATTCTGTCTGTGGGTGGCCAGAGGAAAACCTGGACACAAACAAAAACAGGTGAGCGGGTGGGCGCTGTGATAATATGAGATTTAGAGACATGCTGGCAAAATAATGTGCTGTCAGTGCTGCATTACTACCATGACCTAGTGCTAATTTTGTTTGGTCTGGGGAAATAAAGAGGGAGAATTCTGTAACGATTATTTGGCCAACTTCAAGATTGCAGGAGCTACAACTAACTCTTTCAACATATATGTGCACATGTGGGTACTGTAATAAAAAAAAATAAAGGTTTGAAAAAAACCCAAGTCCCCAAAGGATGAAATGTCCTCACCAAGTGATCCTAAAATGTGCAACATCTGCAGATGGCCCAATGTGCAAAGCAACACATTGTGAACTAAACCACAGTTTCTTAAGACATCTTTAGCCTTTTACCTAAATACAGATCCTGCCATGTGTCCAACTGGTGCTCAGCAGATATGGTGCAAAACAAGACCTTACTCTCTCCTCTGGCTTATAAGACCTTCTACACACTCTTTTCTTCCCTCTTAGGTGATTGGGGTCATCTCAAAGCTTATATCTGCTTTTAAACTGTTTACTACAGCTAAGAGGAGTTTGGAAATTAGGTACAAAGGAACACTTAAAGTATCCCTTCCCATGTGTTGAAAAACTCTAAAGTAAATCAAATTGTACAGCTACACAAACCACTAAACACTGCCTAGCACTTAAATGTCTGAGTATAGAAATGCATGGAAGTCAAAGCGAGGTCATGAATTCTTTATGTATAAAAAAAAAATCCACAGCTAAACGGATGAGCTGATATGTAGCAAAGCAGTGGAACAGATTGATTGCGCTGTCCTCATTCACAGTCAGCACCATCATGGCCTCGGGGCACTGCCCCAACCACTCTCATTAAAAATCTGCAGCATCAGACACTTCAGCACCAAACATATGAATATGATCATATATTTGTTTTGTTTCTCACTGACCATCTATACCTTTCTGCTTGCAAATTGGAAACAATCAGTAAATGAATCCATTAGGAAATCAACTGATAATCTGCAGTATTTTTAATAAATAAACCATTTCAGTAATTTTTTTAGCCAGCTGCATATACAAAGGTGTGAGTAATCCTTCTCTGCATTAAGCCCAACTTCCACCCGGCAGACCCATGAGAGGCTTTTGGGACTACATGCCTGACAAAGTATTTATTTATAAATCAGGCGAGGGAGGGGGAGGATCACTAACTGACGTCCCATAGCCTCTGCCAGATTTGTTATGTCACAGGATCTAGGAGGATCAGCATCCACCTCGTCTAGCCGGGACCAGAATGAGTGGGAAATCCCACACAGATTGAGTTGGTGTTGCCGCTGAGTGTATGCTACTGAAGCAGTGGAACATTAAAAGACTGTCTGAGGGGCTGAATGCATTTTTCCTGTATTTCATTTTTACAATATCCGCAAACTGTTTATATATAAATCTATTCATTTTTGTATCTGCTATCACAGCTTATGTAGGGCAGAGTACACTCTGGACAAGTAGCCCATTGCAGGTCTAACCCAAACATACAGACAAGCATTTACAGTCATACCCACTGCTAATTTAGAACGACAGGCTAACTAACATACATATCTTTGGAGACTGGGAGGAAGCCAGAGTATCTGGAGTAAACCCGCATAAGCGCACATGCAAACTGCACACAGAGAGGCCCCAGCTGGCCGGGTGGTCTCGCCACATACTGCTGCATTACCACACTGTGCACTGTTTATATATAACTCTGTATTATTTCTGCTTCAAAACACAACCAAAAAATAGTAGAGGCAAATAGACACAGCGGCCTCAGGTTATTAGCATCGTGTGGGCTGTACCTGGGTATAGGTGCAGGGTCTCGTTGTTGCAGAAGTCAGTGAAGCAACAGTTCCTTTTGGAGACATTTCTGGAGCTGTAGCAGAAGACCTGGCCTTTCATCTCAGAGGGGGACAGGCAGGACTTCACTGCCTCCTCCTTCCCATCGATCAGCATCACAGAGTTCCAGCAAGCGCCGTCTGCTGCTGTCTCACAGGTGTTGTTGGCACACAGCTGGCACACACACTTCAAACCTGAAAGACATTGAGATTTGGTGATTTTTGTCTTCAGACACTTTACAGCTTACAGCATTCACTGTACTTCATTTATCTGTGAGTGACTGAGGGGGGCTGGGGGGAGGACAATATACTGACTCGCGTGAACAGTGGTTTTTAACTCTTTAGTAGCAGGATGCTCCTGTTACACAATGACATCTATGCTCTTAATGGATGGAGGTGGAGGAACCAGATTAATGCCTCTTAGTTTAACACCCACATAATCTTGTGTTCTACTTGGAGCTGTTGTCATGCTTTGTTCCATAAGCAGTGTCTGATAAGCAAGAGTGCACTGCCTGCTCACAAGGAAGAAAAACAAATAGCTTTAAAAATTGCTAATTATTTAATTGTGTGCAATGTTTTTTATGGCGCCTTCAGTTTTCAAGCTAAAGGTCTCCACAGCCTTATCTTGTAAATTGTAATATTTTGTAACAAGTATCACCCATTCATACATTTTTTTATAGACACTGATGGCTGATCCTGAAATATAATTATCAACAGCTAAGTGACAAAAGTCATGACTGCTGTATGTATGCAGTAATTATTTTACTTACTGTACTCTGTAATAATCTTAAGTCATTCTTCACTGCCTTAATTTGGATCCACCACGCCATAAGACCTGTTGTCAGAATGGCTTCTTTACAGCCACAGACCTTTTCTGATGACTCTGCAGTGGACAGCAGACGGATCAACTGAAGGACCAGATGCATCTCGCAGGTTCTGCGTCAGGTCTTAGCTGGATTTTTTTTCCTATTTCTTTAGGATATGAATTTCAGATACTGTCCATCTACTGTAGATATTTTTATCCCTGACATTTCTTCATTTGTCCTCCACTTATCCAGTTTTTACAGAATTTCTAAGGGCCCTCTGAATACCATGCTGTGCCAAGTCTTCTGCTGATAACTCTTTGGAATTCACCTTGTTGGTGCAAAAAATACTTTATGCTGTTTTTGTACGTTCAACTAAATAAATGGGAATAATTTCTTTTTGACATGCTCTTAGAAACAAAAGGCCTAAAGATTCAAAGTTGTCTGTTATAATGGCCTGGATAAACACTAGTTCCTTCACTTAGTCGCCTTTTTATACTTAAACATAGATCAATGTAAAAAACAAACAAAAACAAATTCTGAAAATGTTTGGATACAGGACTGGATGGAAAACAAGTGAAAAAGCATCCAATGTCCAAACCTGGAGACCAGTTTTCTAAAAATACAATAAAGTCTGGCTCACTGGAAGCAAAATGTTAAGAAATGAGATTAATCAGCTGTATTTTTATGTTTTTTTTGTTGTGTGCTTTTTTAAAAAGTCGTATAAATCATAAATTCATTGATACGTAGTGATATCAGAAATCAATCCCTGTTTATTCCAGACTCTTGTTTTTTTCTGCTCCCTCGCGAATCTCCTGGAAAGCTGATCAATTTTTTATTGACTCTGCATTTTGTACTAAATCTGGAACCACATTGCTCACTTGGCTCAGTTCCCATGAACTATGAATGCCTTATAAGTAAATCTGACTTACAATATGCATGTCACACAGAGGTTATATGGTACCTAAAATCTGGAAGAGCCAAAGTATGAAAAGGGGATTTAAACAAATATCATTACATAACAAAATAATATCTTTATAAACATAATCTTTATTTTCAACATCTTGTAGCCTAACCATTAAAGTGAAAAAAATTTCAGCCCACAGTAAACAGCGGTGTACGGTCTCAAAGGAGAAGTTTTTGAAAAATTCAATTAGAGTATATTTTTCCTCCAGCCTGCTGTGCTGTTCATTCAGGTGGTTTTGATGCGAGCTGCCCAGTTTTGGACATGCTGGCTGTAATGTCTGGCTTCTCTCTGACTATAATGGAACAAAATGCCACTCACCTTGTGGTGACTAAGGTGCCAAAAACAAACAGAGAACTGATGTCTCTTTTTCCAGAACAAGAAAAAGAAATACAACCACAAATCTTGCTTTGACCAGTGTCATGTAACAACTATTTTCTTCCCACAGTCTACAACCACTAAAACAAGCGCGCAGCTAGCTAATTATAGCTCTGCTGAGAGAAGACATCATTAATGTTTACATCCCATAATGCTCTCATCACGAGTACATGAATCCTTCTGCAGAGTGACAGGGATTGCAGGTGTAGTTCGGAAGAAAGGAAATATCTCCCGCATGAAAGTGCTCATGGACATTTTTTTTTTACCCCAAAAGAGACATTTCTCTTTTTTTTTTAGCAGCAAAGAAAAATAAAGCACTTAGAGACCACGTGTCACCTGATTTACTGAATTTAAGAGCAGGCAGACATCTCTCCAGCCAGCCCCAAACTCACAACAAAACACTCTAAACAGATAAACTGTGAAGGAACGAAGACATAAATTTGATCTTCATTATACTGACAGAACATAATCTCCAGTGGACAACTGAGCAGCAATAACTCTTCATCCTTTTGGTCTTTAAATGGGACTGATTGACAGTTAGAAATATGACCAATCTTCTCTTTTAAAGGTTTTTGTAAAACTCGTCTTGATGAGAGACCTGCTGACAAAATCAGCACAAAAAAAGTTCAGGTGAAGACTATGAGATTACTTTTTGCCTTTTTATGGCATAGCTGGGGTTGCTTGGTAACAACCTGTTAAAATACACCGAGGTGCGGCGAGAGTTTCCTTTCTTAAAGCTGATGAACGTCTGAGCACTGGTGTGTGTATTTAATCACTTGTATAACACTGATGGAGACCGAAGACTTGATTTGGGGATCGTGCATCTTAAATGGCAAAACTATTTTTCCAAAATATACATGTTCAAAATCTTGTTGAGAGTTTATAAAAGGCGCAAAAACTTCTAAGTAAAAACATTTTTATTGGCTTAATTTATCAAATTAGCAGAAACAAAAATCTAAACTTCTTACAATAAACCTCACGTAATCTAACAATAGTTTAACAGGAAACTTGTCTAACCATTTGCCCTCTTTCTAAATCCCCATCTTATGATGATATATAACTACATTTCAAATCTATATTTAATTCTCTCTGTTTCAGGAACTTCATATTACCCCATAGCCTCTGCGTGCACATTTAAAAAGCTGTGAAAAGAAAACCAACAATGAATCAAAGTTGATTCCACATCCATTCAGTTTGGAAGTGGATCTTTGCTTTGAATCCGTTTTGAAATGACTGTTTGCAGCTTTTAGAGCTTGTTTTGTGACAAACCCTAGAAGGGGAAGCTGAATCTGAGCAGTGACAGTAATGAGTACTCTTTTAAATGAAATATTGCGCAAACTTTGCACATGCTGTTCACATTTATAAATCATTCTCCATAAACTAACAGGTTTGGGTAGCCCTGCAGCACCCCTCAATCCTGAAAGAATAATTACTCATTTCCTCAGGCATCACCAGAGTCAGTTACAAATTAATTCTCTCTCTGTGTTGGGGAGTATAATACTGTTATTTGCAGTGTTGTGAAGTCTTGTTATAACTGTGGACCAAACTCGATGAGTCCCTTTGAACTAATATCTGCACTAATATAACAGAGAAAGTGTTTACAATTACAGGAAACAGGGAATATCTGCCACACTAGAAAATCACCCATTTATTACTCAAATAAGGAATACGTTCACTGCAAAGAATGTAGAAAAAGAGACATTTTTACTTTTTCTGGCTTTACTTAAATCTGCATTTAATGAGCCTTGTTAACCTTTTAAGTAGCTCAATTATTCGGATTGAATTCCAGTGTCTAGAAGAATAGCACTGAGGCTTGTAGAATAATTTGGAGGCATTAAGCAATAAGAGGCATTTAGCGCAATTAAGCAATAACTGGTTGTTTTTAAAAGTTTCACTTAATCATTGCATTAGAAATTAAGCTATTATATAGCTAAAGGTGACCCAGAGTGACTAAGAGAGTGCAACTAGTACAACTTACCTTAAGTCACCTGTAACCTTTTACCTTAAGTCAGAGAATGTCAGATGAAAAAACTTGTGCTTTTTAATTATTTTCAACAAAATGCGTTAGACAAAGATCTGACATACAAAGTTTGCCAAACAATAGTTTTCATCCAGTTCAACCCACCATCTACTTGCCCCACTGGAAATGTAGTAAAACATGCACTGCAGTCTAACACAGTTTTTCTAAGTTGGAGTTTATGTCTTTCTGTGTACCTGAGCCCACCAGCAGCCAAACAAGCCAGGCTGTGTTTATGAAGTAGCATCTGTTCTGTTTTCCAGCTCTGGAGTTAAGTGGCTGCTGATTCTCCAATTCTTAATGTATTTCATCAATATCAAATGCAATGTTACAGCACTTCAAGATGCAGCATGAATGTGGGTGGAAACTATGGATTGTTTTCATCAGTTAACCTGACATCTATTTCCATAATGAACTGTTTGGTCTGTAGAATAAAAGAAAATTGTAATGCCTTCAATTTAGGATTTTCTGCAGCCCAGTTTTCAGCAAATATGTAGTTTTGGGCAACAAGTAGTTCAAAAGCAAAACATATGACAAGAAAAAGTTGCAAATCCCTTTAGAGACACTTGAATTATTACCTCAGTTATCAAGTTATGAGAGTAGCTCCAGGTTATTTTTGAATGATGAACTATCCTTTCAGGGGTGTAGTATGAATTCAATCACAGAAAACAAATAATTAATATTTCTATTTCATATTAAGCAAAACGTTTTAATCCTAGATACAAACAGGCTACAAGGCAAATGCTTTAAGGTCTTTGAAATGATATATCACAGCATGTGTACTAAAGCTGACCACATATTTTAGCCAAACCTACTTACTGACAGCTTGAAATTACAGTCTTTTAACACCCATACTTCCCCACCGCACACATGCTGTTTGTGGGCGGTAACTTTACTTTCAGACCTTTTTAACAGCAGCAAAATAAGAAAAAGAAATGCTCCACTTTTGATCATATCTTTAAAGACAAATTCTTCTTCTTTTTTTTTTTATTGCTATAAAGTTTTGTGTGATTTTGAAAAGCCAACTATACTAATTGGGTTAGTGTAGGCGGTCTAAGAACTCATTAAAAACCTTAAAGAAAACAAATGGCACAGCTTATTATCATGTTGCACCCTGAGACTGTGTACCTGCAGTCAGCTGGGCGACAGTCAGGAAAATCAACGCCGCTTGAAAGCACTGCTTCCCGGGACGAGTCATGGTAAGAGCCGCATCTGCTCCCTCTCTGACGCACCGCTTACACAGCTACTCTACAGAAAACAGAGCAAATAAACATTGCGGTAAAGTCCGTCGGCCATGCACCCCCGCCACAAACGTCTCCGTCTGTAAACGATCGAGAAACGCAGTTTGCTCCGCCTCTGTTGACTGGACTTTAAGAGGATTAGCGCTGCAGACCTCTGATAAAGACATGTGAATGGGAGCCAGAGAGAAAGTGCGTCGCACATCCATTTAACTGCTGTCGGTCCAATGAAACACCACCTCCTGTCTGCCAAAGGGATATGGAAATTACCTCTGCTCACTGAGGTCTCACTTATTTATTAAATGTGCAGAGATTTTAAACTATTTACAGTGTAATCTGTGGAAATTACTAACTACAACGCCACAATCTGGCCAATCTGCAACCCATACATTATTAATAAATAATCCACAACAAGACTGCTGAGCTCCCTAATGAACACATGAGAACATGAGCACTCTGTGCTTCCCTGAGTGCAATTAATGTCAGTTAATGCAGAAGGAACGAATATGTCATATGAATGTGTCTTTGAATGTGTACTCTGAGCCCCTTTACGCACAGTGGCAGCCTTCCAGGCTTAAAAAATAGAGCCAATGCAACATGCCAAACCTCAGTTTCTCCAATGGAGGCTGACCCCAAAAAGCCAGTCACTTCCCATGTTACAAAGCCCAACTTTAAAAACATGTTTACAGCCTGCTACAAAAACAGTTTTGGTCTCTAAGGAAGCCAATGTTTCCCTTTATTTAAAAAAAAAACTGCTCAAGGATTATTCTCCTTTGCAGCTGCCTGTTAACATGTTAAAATGACATTAAGCCTTAAAATGATGCATTAGGGATTAGGGGTCATGATTGCTATGACTGACAGGTGGATACCAACACAGCTTCACCACACCATCGCAGCGAATCAGAATCAATATCTTAAACAGGTTTGTGGCACTTTTTTGGAACATTCATAATAGAAATATCTACTGTGCACCTTTGCAGTATACACTTATAGTACACACTTAAGTGCAGTTCCTCCCGTGGGCACCTCAAGCTTGCTGTAGAAAGTAAGTCACTGCAGCTTTACAGCTTAAAGTACGTTTACAACTTGTTTAAAAAGCTATTAATGGTATCTGATCTACATGTATCAACAGTACAAGGGTGATTTTATTATTACTATTATGTTTTTGATAACTTACCCTTTAAAACTTTGGTGTACAGCTGCTTTGCCAGGTGGATGCCAAGGCAGCGTTAGCCCACCATTGTTCAGGCTCTTTCAAGCTCTCAAATGTGAGTTTGCAGTCCTGTGGATAACTCCCATCTTTTATATACAGCCTATGACAATTACGCTGGTCCCACCAATATTAATATTGTACTTCCAAACTCCTTAAAAAAAAAAAAAAAAAAAAAAAAAAAAAAAAAATCAGCTAATTGCAAGTGTGGTGCCCTCGAGGATCTGACAGTTGCCTGTTTTGAGAGTTTGGTAATCCAACCGTCAGCCTATCTTGTGGCCATTCCAACTGCTCTCCCTGGATGAGAGAAGCAAAAACAGAATAAAAAAAAAAAACTAGGCTGCACAGACGCCACTTCTGACCTCCCTCCTAGTGAGGCAGAAAGTAAACACTTAGTTGATCAACAGTGAATGACGTTGCTGTACATTCAAAGCTGGACTCACCTCCATGAAAGAAGTTATTTACAGCCAGCCATGTTTCTGCTGCTGAGGCTGCATAGCAACAAAAGGTGCCAATGTCTCCAGGGACAGTGAAGGTTTGATCCCACAGACTACACGATCATAACACAATCAAAAATCGGGATTTTTTAAAAAATCTATTTATTCATGGGCGGTATGCACATTGTCTACAAACAAGAAGTGGTGAGGCAGCCACTAGTAAACTCTGAATCCAGGAACCTTGACTTTTTGGGGGTTCTCGCAGCACAAACAGTCGCTGCTCCAACTGCACCAGCTGTGGTCCTTGGCAGTTAAGAAAATGAATCACTACTAATGTGGTGACTGACACAGTCTTCATCAAGGCACTACTAGGAGAACATTAAGTCACAAAACCAACATAAGAAAAATGAGAACTTGTACAGATACACTGACAGGCAAATGCACAATGTTTATTGAGGGTGCTAAGAAAAGAAAAAAAAAAAAACATCCAAGACTGTAGGGTTGATGTAGGATTTTCATGAAGTTGGGTCTTTTTTGTTTATCCATGAGTGTCTTTATATAATCTGGTATAAATTGACTCTATATTGTTCATTTTTAACATTTAAATTCTTTCAAATATTTTGATATTTACTTACTGGAAAAAAGTAACACATACTTCGTCACCATTACACCCTCTCAGATAATGAATACAGTGCAACCAAGTCTAGCCCTAAACCTCAAAGAAACAGGATGGGACATTAAAACTGCTGGAGTCAAACCTCTGCTCTGCGGTCTCCGGACGGATCAAATGACACTGAATATGAAGACTTGTTACCTTAAAAGTCTGACAGCTGTTTTCAACACACACAGGACATCTTAGCATGGTTAATCACCCACTGTTGTCATTCAATCATCTGGCCTATAGCTCTTCATATGAATTAGTTTGTAACCAGTTTGACACTGCCAAATTCTGCTCTCCCCAAAGTTTGGGCTTCTTACCTTCACCAAATAAATAAAAAATTAACTGTTCGCATTGTTAGAGCACATCTCCAGCAGTCAGAAAAGAAGCTGCTGTTTTAGCTGGAAAGATAAAAAGCTCTGATATTCCACTTGAGATGGAAATGGTCCTTATTATGCACTGTGAGCTGAATTTTCTGTTAGATTCGTAGAAGCTGGAAAAGTTCAGAACAGTCAGACACTGTACTCAGAAAGTGCAAGGACAAAACAGCTGGATAGTTAAGACTTAACAGATTAACAGCTGTCATAATAGCATCTTGACATCAAAGCCCAGCTTGAACAAAGTGAAATGAAAATGGGCATTTTAGAGTAGAGCCAGCAGAAGCATGCTGAGGCTAACCACTCGATTTCATACAACTAATTTTCCATCTTAGCATTTTAGCATATTAACATTTACCAATCAGGAATAAAGCAAAGGTATGATAAGAGGTTTCAGTGAACACTTTACAGGCGAGGCTAGAAAACCTCTCTGTAGTCTTGTGGATTACATCTCGAAATTAAGAAAACTTTGCCAAAATTTTGATAGGTTATGGGGGAAATAAACAGAGGTACTGCTTCATCATTCGAGGCATCAAATACATGTAAGCATAGCCGCCAGACTTCCAAAAATCTATTAAACCTTCAAGATATCCTGTGATGACTCTGAAGAAAGGTCACATCAAAAGAAGAAAGATTTACTGAACAGGAGCCTGATGAAGGTGGTGGCAGAGAAAAAGAGAAGGCATCACCATTTGAATTGATCTCAAGGTTGTGAATTTCTTTTACAGACTTTTGAGATATTTCTACACACTTCGACACAGTATCAAGACACCAGTCAGATGTAATTTACTTCTTTTTTTCCCCATTTTAATTAATAAAAAAAATAACTAATTGATATAAAATGTTAAAGAAATTAAAAAACGCTGAAGTTTGACTTCAGTTACTTTGACAATGCACGCATTAAGACGACAATGCACGCGTTAAGACAATATACAGGCTTTACAGGCTTACTTACAGGCCTCTGGAGGAATACAGTTCAGCATCATCTAGCAGATATTGTATTTGTTCTTTTAGCATATGTCTCTGTAAAGCTGAAGAAGCAAAACAAGATAAAAAATAATAATTCAATGTAAAGTTAATGATGATATACAAAAGGTTTGCAACAGAGTACCTTGTAGTTGGACGATATCGGGAAAAGGATGGTGCCACTGACTTGACTGTACAACTAAATGTTACAGAACTGAACAAAATCCCAAGAAACTTATTCTGACAGCATTGTAAACAGTGGTACTGCACACAAAGTGAGACACACCTCGACATGTTTACTGTGTTACAAAGTTTGCTGACTGACTAGGCAAGTTCAACCGGCGAGTTGACATCTTTTCCAAATGGATCGACCGTAATGCAAAAGAACAACACAGTACAATTAAAGAGATAAAGAAATGACCGCGTTCAGACATTTTCCAAGCTAAAAAAGGTTTTCAAACAAAATCTGCTCTTCTAAAAACAAGCAACCCTACTCAAATGCCCTGGTAAGTTTCTTCCTTGAAGAACATTTCTAATAGTCAAGCTCCTATGATAAAAGTTGAAATAGATATTTTCCCATTTCTAAGACCATCGGCAGTCTCGGAAATGCCTGGTAAGCCATCTTTGGATGCCAAAATATGTCCCTCAAATGTTTTAAAATAAATATAAGTCTGTGCCACTATAAGGGCACTGAAATTATTGAGTCATTTATCTTTTGAGATTTTTCTCTAAGGTGGTCCATCCTCCGGACATCTTCAGTGGCCCTCAGTACATGCCTGCTTCGTCTTCTCGGGGAAGGCTCAAATGTCTGTTTTTATTTTATCCAGAGAGTTGTCGATCTTTGTGAGAGTCTTTTTGATGCGCAGCGCCGTTAATCTGGCTGACGGATTCTGGTACCAGCATTCCTTCATGAGTTTAGCCATGGAGGTTAAAGTCTAAAAAAGAGGAAAAATGGAAATCGATCAATGTGCCTGATGTAAACACTAAAAACTCTGGATTTTACTTCATTTGTGTATTTCTGACAAAAGTAACATTACTTACTGGGTCTGAAAACCATCTGTTTGGGATGTTGGGTCTCTGCTGATCCACACACACAACCTTCCTCATATCTTCAAAGCTCGGATCATTTGGGACCACGTCATGAAAAGGGGGCTTGTAATCTTCTACAATTCCTACAAGAAGAAGACAAAGAAGAACAGTTTACTTCGGAGATCGCACAGTTTAAGAGTGTAAAGTATAAAAATATATATTACAATGATTGCTGACTGAGATGTCCACTCAATATCTTAAATCCTGCTTAAAGCCCCTTTAACAGTGAAGATAAGAAGTGGGTTTTAGTTCACAGAAAGTGTATCAAGGCTACATCTTTAAATCAATATATAAAAAGCTTTTACTCAGTCCAAGCTGAAGCCATGACTTGTTTTGTTTCTGAAGAAAGACCTGACTACAGCCACCTCAATGCAGTATCTTTGCAAACAGCACAAATATGCCATGCCCAATTTTCTGATCGCGTACATAATATTTGCAGCTGTTCTTATAGTTTCTACTACACCCATCCAAGATTAACAGATGGCCTTGTGCCTTAGTGACGTAATCACAACAGGTCAGAGCTGAATCCAACAGGACAGTGTTGTGTAAAACATGTACTGACCATTACTGACTGTCCTCCTGGCGATCTCCCACAGGACGAGGCCCAGGGCCCAAATGTCCACTCTCTTGTAGGACTCAAAGCAATCCATCTGGATGGAGTCATCGAGCACTTCAGGGGCCATGTAGCGCTTTGTTCCAACTTTAGGGTTGTTCCCCACGTCTAACTCGTTTGTGTCTTGAAAATGCATGACAGCCAGACCTTAAATGGAAACAAAAGAACACTTTAAAATCGCCTCTTATACACATGTAATCAATGAGATTAAAAGAGAAAATACTTTAACTCTCTGAAGGAGGTAATTAGTAAATATTTTTAATTAAGTCATCATCCAAGTGAGGCAACAATAACTAATACAGATACTGGAGTGAAGAGGAGACCAAGTTTTCCGACACTCATCTTTTAAATCAGTCGATTGGAAGGCTATTTGTTCACCATGCGTGGCCCTGTTCGCCCAAACAGGATGTACTCCAACCCAACAACAACTCACTTAGGAGACAAACAGCAGCTACCATGTTTGTAAGGACAGCAAAATGCGTCATTCGGAGCAGAATTTATTAAATCGAGCCTGTAAACATGTCAAGCCTGTCGCCAGGTTATGGCTTGTCCCCGAATTAGATGTTATTCAAGCATCTGCAAACGGAACATTGATGCATTAGATAAAGTGAACCAAGGTCCTCAAAATGTGTTTTCGGTTAAGGGCAAAGCAATACACCTGGAAGAGGATATTTTTTCGAAATAACTAATGCGGCTGAGCAGACAGATGCAAATTGAGCGACCATGAAGCGAATACGTCTCTAACGCAATGAATAAATTGTAACCTTCAATTAACCTCTTCAGCTAATCTTCACGTGCATCAGCTCAGATCTGCTTTTATCGAAGCCGTATTAATGATTGCACTGAATAAAATACTAAAACCGAGACGCTCCATTATTCTGTGAATATTATAGACCCTACACACAGCTTTGCAAATGATGGTCTACATTTTGTAGTCAGCTTAGGGGCCCCGCCTTCACGATTCACCAGTAATATCTTTAACAGTCACTTTTGTTTTTTAAATTTTTGCCGTTAAGGCGCATGTAGCCGCTGCAGTAATCTCCTGACTGTCGCCCTTCAAGGAATACTGCCACATCAGCACTGATATATGGCCTGCATTTGTATAGCGCTTTACTCAGTCCCTAAGGACCCCAAAGCGCTTTACACTACATTCAGTCATTCACCCATTTACACACACATTCACACACTGGTGATGGCAAGCTACATTGTAGCCACAGCCGCCCTTGGGCACACTGACAGAGGCGAGGCAGCCTGGGATCGAACCACCGACCTTCTGATTAGTGGCTGACCTGCTCTGCCATATAGGAAGAGAAGAAGCCAAAACTCGAAGCAAAGACATTGCTAATTGTATCCTTCAAAGTTTTTCCATAAAGAATCATGTTTATGAATTGTTGCGACATCTGCCTGCCATGCGTGTCATTGCACCGTTGTGGACCCCTGCTGTGTTAACACAAACACACGTGCACACTATTCTCACCGAGATCAGCAATGCTGCACTGTCCATTCTTTTTCACCAATATGTTTTTGCTCTTCAGGTCTCGGTGGGCAATAGCTGGCTTGCCATGAGTGCCAAAGATCTCGACATGTAAATGCGCCAGACCGCTCGCAATGGAGAGCGCCATCCGGAGGCAGCTGGTTGCGTCGAGGGTGTTGAGCTGAAGGTAATCGTACAAGGAGCCCATCTCGTGAAAGTGAGTGATGAGCCACAGCTGGGTGCTGGAGTTCCTTGAGGTCATGTCTGAACCGATGAAGCCTACGTGGAGAGATATGAAATTAAATATTGCTCATCAACAGAAATGTAAACATGCAACCAAGGAGAAATTAGCATGCATTGATCCTTATACATCCTTATACAACACACTACCTATATAGTTTTCATGCATTGCACCTAAGAGTGACAGCTTGATATGATATCAACTTTAATGGTTGTTGTGTCCTTCAGTGCATATCAGAGCTCACGAAACCTGATCATTTATTAAAGGTTGCATACCCAAGATGTTTTCATGTCTCAGCAGCACAGTGTTGTAGATTTCAGTCTCTCTGAACCAAGACTTTTCATCTCGAGAGGAGAAAATTTTAACAGCAACATTCTCTCCCTGCCACTGGCCCCTCCACACTTCACCATAACGGCCCTTGCCTGACAAGTAAAAAGAAAAATTATGAATCGGTACACACACACACACACACACACACACACACACACACACACACACACACACACACACTTTGTTCATATTCCACTAAATTTACTACGAGCACACTTGATGGACTCCATTGTGTGTAACATTCAAACCTGCACTAATCATTTTTGTGGCAACAATGAAGATTCATTATATTTGTTATAGCATAAACATCTCTGCAGCTTTTTAACTTATCAAGATACTGAATGGATAGTGTAATATTAAAAAGTGTAATATTAAACAGCTACAAACAATTACCTGTTAAAAGATCGTAAACAAGATAACCTAAAGGGAAAGTGATTATTTGAAATAATATGTATCAGGGCAAAAAAAGAAAGTGTACTTTGAATGCTAATGTCCTTAAATTATTTATATTTATATTTTATTAGTAGCCATAACTTTGTAGGCTTACTATATTTGACAGCTTATTATACTGCCCCCCAGTGGCCAAAAACCAATTAATATAGTCATAACTGTAATAAAAAAATGGTTTAGAGTGACGCAGGGTTAGGGAAGTCATTTCAACACAAGTGACTTTCAACATGAGTACCTTTTCATAAAAACAAATTGCCACAACACATTGTGGCAATTTGTTTTCCTGAAAATATGCTGACTCTTGCCAGCATTGTCACTGACACTTATCATAAAACAATCTCAAGACTGAATTGCAATTGTGGCTCTGGGGACTTCACTGCTGAACTGTTGCACATTCACTCTGGCCCACTTTCACGATAAGCTCACACTGCTCGTCTGTTTTGCAACCAATTTCAAATTCATATTTTTATTCTCTTGATGATTTATCTGAAGATTTGGAAGTTCCTGAATTTCATGTTTTGAATGCTCACACAGGACTTTTTAGTCTTACACCTTTTTCAAGATATGAAAAGTTAAATATGAACCAGGAACTTCTATTTGTAGACTTATCAGACTGTAAAATACTACATGAAATGTTGTAAATTACTGTACTGGCTATATTAATGATCAGCTCTACCTTAATATATATCAAACATGAGATTCTAAAGTACTGTAATCTGGCATACACCCATCGACAACAAAATTAAGACCAGAGGCTTTCAGGGTGTCTTGTGTTGTTGGGCACTGGGACATTAGCACTATAACCTCTGGTTCCTGTTGGTTGCAGGATGGGCCTTCTTGACAAGACTGCTCTTATAGATGCTCGATTATACTGGGTTCTAGAAAGTTTAAAAGCAGGGTAGCACTTTGGACTCTGTCGGTTTCTGCAGTTTAAACTGTGGTGAGGCAGATTATGCTGCAGGAGGAGGATGCTGCTTTTGGTGAGTGTTGATTCCCAGTTGGGGGTGCTCAAGAACAATATTTAAGTGGGTGGTAAGTGTCAAAGTAACATCCAAATGAATGCCAGGAACTGTGTTTTCCCAGCAAATTTCTGACGAGAGCAGCAATGTTATTTACCTCACAAATCAGTGCTTTTAATGTTGTTGCTGGTCGGTATATAAGCACGCAATATACATGGCTGCAGGTCTGTCGCGTCACAATCTGTGCTGCCAAAGCTGTAAAGTTGCCCCTATGCTTAATCTGAGTGATGAAGTACCCTTTACATCTCAACATTTCTTTGGAGGACGTTTAGTCTGCTCAGTTACCGTGTCACCTTAAAATGAAAAGAGGAGGCAGATTTTTTGTTTCCCCAACTGTGCTATTGCAAATAGGAATACAGCTTTTGACAGGACACCTACCCACACACTCATTTAGTGTGATTTGTCGTGCAACAGTTCTCTGAACAAGGAAAGGGAGTCCTGAGCCACTTCCTGAAGTGCAGGAATGATCTAGCAAATCCTGGGAAAGAGAGAAAAAAAAAATTAAATTGAGAAAAAGAGCTTATGAATTTATTTGTGCGTCTGTGGATAAATTTGCATGTGATCTATATGAATGAAAAGCTCAGTCCCAAAAGAATCCTGTGGCTCAAGCCTAAAAATGGTGAAATATGGAGCATCTGGGACTCCGATGGAGATTAATAACAAGCAGGCTGTCTTTGATGTGGCACCCACATGGGATGGAGGGGGCCAAGCTGTGTGTACCAAGATAATGTGTGTGGGTGGGTGTGTGTGTGTTTCTGTGCTAGTGTTGCAGAGTGCCCCCTGCTGAGTAAATAACAGAAGTACCACCCCCTCCCTGGTGACTGGTGTGGGTGCTGAAGATTTTATCTAATCCAAGGGCCAGACTCCAAAACAGGCGCAATGCTGCTAAGCCTTTTATTTTTATCTCATCTGCAAGACGTGCAGCATCCCAGCGCTAACACAGGAGGGCAGTGCACAGCAACATAGTCAGCAGCAGCTGAGCAAAACAAATGACTAACTAGGAGGGGAGAATGAGGATTGAAAATAGAGGGAAGTGATGCCTCAGATAAACAAATGCATAATGCAAGAGCTGCCTGAGAGACAATTTGGAATCACAACACAGGAATGCAAGGCAGAGGCCGTAAAATGAATGATGAGTTGCTCTGTAGAGAGTTTAAACCCCTCTCTTTGGTGCAGGAGGATTGTTTTTAGGAGTGCATCTTTGGGCCGGGCTGTTAAGCAGCAGAATGTGATCAGTACGTTGCAATATCATTAGAACCAGAGAGCAAGTCTAGGCAGCAGCTACCGAGGGACAAACACTTTCCACAAGCATGCCATTGTTCATAATAATCTTTCTCGTGGTGCTGCAAAAATAAATCAGATAATCTGGAATTTCAAAAGTTTAGACCACAAGTTTAGACGTGTTTATCAAAAGAGAACAACTCTTGAAAGATTACTGAATGGTAAAACGCACGGTAACAACCAAGTATTTTGTTAAGGCACCAATTGGACTCAGTTTATGCTGAACATGATTACACAGTGTGTGAGCCAATGAATGTGCTGGGTTGTCTTTCAGACTAAATGCTAACCACAGGACTCCACCTAAATTCTGGATTAGTTTAGCGGGCTTCAAAACCGCAGAAAACTCACAATCCATGCATGAGTGGAGAGAAAAGAAATAGCAAAAGACATTCCCTCTAACCGACTGGGGGAAAAAAACTGGGAGGAGCAATGGCACCACCCACACATTCAGCCACAAAATTCATACATATGCATCTAGTGTACAACTGCTTTAACTTTTCTTTCCTCGAGAACAAACGGTTCTTAAAAGTAAGAAAGAAAGTCCAGAGCAACAGTCTGCACAGTTCAATTTAACCATATTCGGAGACTGATCTAGCTCAAATCGACCCAAACAGCCAGTAAACCAAGGCTGGGATGACACACACTTGCAGACATGCATGCTGACAGCTGCGGACACCACAGATGAGTAGTTGTCCTCACTTTTTGCATGTCCACTAGACATCCGCACAGAGGATTACTCCTGCTCTATGATAAGGAACTTAACACCACTCTTGCATACTTAAAGCGGAAACTACATAAGGCTATGTTTAGACACTATCAAGCTATAATTTCATTCAAATTACTAAAAACATGAGTACTTTTTTATCAAATGGCAAACATGGGAGTTTTACAGGTTTAACTCATGGCAGGAGAAGGAGACTATAATTGCAGTGCCATCGCATCACGGCTTAATCACAAGATTGAATTCTGTTTATGAAGCTGATGCAACTCTTTTATCCTGTAAATAGTGGAAATGCGTACAAAGGGAAGGTAAAAGTCCCCACTAATCCAACAGTGTTTAAAAATCATCACAGGAACCCCTCAAGGTAATACAACACATAATTAGAGGATAGGAATCACACATCTCTGTTATTGGATCTCTGTTACAGTGCAAGTCTGCAGTAGAAACTGTGCATCATACCTGGCATCATACAAAGGGAAAGTAATGGGTGCAAATAAAAGACTGGAATTTGATTAGGCTTTATATCAAACAAACTAGTGCATTATACTATTCCTTGAGCTGCTAATAAAATTGGTTTTTCAGGTGCGTTATGAAGGTAGCCACCTTTGTGCCATCGACTACTCACCGCTAGAGTGCTCTCCCCCACATTAGAAGCTATAAGGCCATCAATAGTTCCATATTCAGCATCTCGGGAGGTTAGCCTCTCCATTTGGTTGTGGTGGATCCGTCTGAACACCAGGATAGCGACAGCAGAGAGGATGATGAGGACAATGATGGGTGCCACGATGACAACAGCTAGTGTGGTCACACTGTAGCTGGATTGCTCATCAGCTGTTAAGGGGACAGAAAAAATTTACAGTGTCACTATCAGGTCATCCCGTTAGATGGTTTTAGAACATAATCAAATTAAATCTAGCTTCTTTTTTCTTTTTTTAAATCTAGAGTTGGTATTGGTCGCTTGCAGTAAACGACACTGGAGTGTTCATTGAGCGTCAGGATCAGACACAATGAGGGAGCGGTCTTGGACCACACAGGTTGAGGATTCAACCATACACAAAACAGAGGATTGCAGCACTCTGCAGGCTTCCTGAAGAAACAAGTCGGGGTGGGTGTGAAGGTGCATAAAGAATATCCACAGACAAGAGTGTTCACTCATATGCAGACATAGTAGAGCTCATCAAGTCAGCAGAGGCCATCCTGAGGAACTGACCACCATTCACACTTTCCAAACATTCCAAGGAAAAAGACTGCTCGGCTCTGCTTCCAGCACTGACAATGATCCCCTTTTCTCAACTTGCATAATGAACTCCTTCTTCCAAATACACATAACTAGCAACACTTTCTAGGGGCTCACTATATTTGAATCAAACACACATGGCGAAATGCATTCAGCTGCAAAATGTTACATAAAAAAAAATTTATTTCATGATTATCTGCATTTGTGAGAATTCAAAAGACAGAAGATTGCAATATAGGAAAGTATGCATGTCATGCGTATGGTATGGTAGTAGCGGTATATGGTACATGTATTGCTGGATGGTATCACCGAAATGTGGTCAGATGTGGGCTTTTACAGATGGGGATGTATCACCTCACTTATTTGTTTTAAACTCAAGATGTTCCGTGTGAACCAACTTTGAAACCAACTCCCATTTATTTAGACTTTTTTCAAATTTTTGGGCTTAAATTAGGATATTTTTGAGAAAAACTAAAATTCAATAACAAAACAGCATTAGCGTAATACTATGTACTACTAGTACAATACAGAATGAACTGACATTAATAAACTGTAAATATGTATTTTAACCATTTGTGGAAAGTGCTGGATACAATGTAATCATTTTCACAACTGATCTATCCCTTCAATGCACAACCAAGATGATAAGATTAAGGCATATTAGATCTAAATGCGTCATGTAGGCCGTAGTATCAAATGCATGACTGTCGAGGCTAAGGTACAGGTGAAAGAAATAAAAAAGGACAAAAGCTCTGTGTATCGATGCCTGACTCTTTCAATCCCAGGTGGCTTCACCCTCTGGGCTCTTGTCAGCCAGCCCTGACAGCCACTGAGAGAAAAGAAGAGAAGTGGACCATGACTAAATAATATTCAAAACCTCCCTCCAGTTGCCCACCGTCTCCCCTTTTTTTCCTGTTTCATGACATGCCAGGAGTGTGACCACATGGACGTGTAACTCAAGCCAACAGAAACAGTCCAGGACAGCCATGGCAGGTAATTTCACAGCTGAAGCTGAAGCCATCTCAGTAGAGGATGATGGAGAATATGAATGTGTGTTGCTTAGTGTAAACCGTAGCATAAACCAACCATACGGCTACTCCTTCTCTGAATATGAGACATCTAGGTAGTACTTTGAATGTGGTTAGTGATTTGATAAAAAAGAAAAAAAGAGTTCAGAGTTCAACACTGAGAGCAGAGTTCTTGCAAATCTTGGACAATCTGATATGTGATGCATTCTGGGTAGCATTGTGCTGTACCTTTGACAGGGAGCTCCACAGTTATGTTCATATTACACAGGTGTCCCTGGCAGCAGTCGACTATCTGGTCTGTGGAAGGCGGGGTCTTGCAGGTCATCGTGCTCTGTTCTAAGACCTTAAAGCAGCCTTTTTGGGACATTATGATGCCGCCGCTGACTGTCAGAGATGAGAAACACTGGTAGCCCAAGCAGCGATTCTGTGTTCCACATGAACCACCCTCGCACACGCACTCATGCTCCTCTTTGCTCAGGGACTTACTCTGGACTACTGTACCTGCAAAAGATTCAGAAAGAAAACTTTTTAAAAAATGCAATGAATTAAGATTATCTTTTGGTTAAAAAAACCCCAATCATCCATGAAACCTTTGCACAATCCTAAGTTACATAAGGCCCGTGAAGGAACAGCAGCAAACAGAAATCTGTACAATGTGTACAAAGTCACCTTTCCCTGGGGCTTGCACAGTGACGTTCATGTTACACAGATGGCCCTGGCAGCACTTGACAACATGGGCCGATGAGGGTGGCATGGCACAGGTGGCTTTGCCCTCCTCGTCGTCCCTCAGGCAGCCCTTCTGTTGGACGGCTGCCCCATCAATCATCTTCAGAGCGGAGAAACAGTGCTGGCCTGTGCAGCGATGGCCATGCTCGCACACACCGCCCTCGCATACACACTCTTGGTCTCTGAGGACTGGTCTGCCAGCAGACAGTTGTACATCTGATAAGAGGAAATAGATATGTGGGGAAACCCATTAGACCAATACCATTAGCAACCCATTAAATTAAAAGGCATTCACTCACATCAGAATCATGCACGTTGAAAAGATCCATTTGCTGGACATTCACCAAAGAGAGCAGAAAATGTTTTGCCTGTTTGAATCTAGCATCTCCTGATATAAAACAAATTTTACTATTTTGTTGAAACAACACTTATTCAGGAGGCCTACTCAAACAGACCAGAAAAGATTGTTTAAATCTTTGATTTTAGTTGTTGACAAGCACGCACATGGTTCATGGGACAGATCAATTGATTTTCTAGCTTGCGATTTTAAATACATTGTCATTATCAACTGTAAAAGCACACAACAACTAAGCAGCTATACTGTAGAATAATTTCACACACAGGTTTGCATCTCACACACGGCTCTAATAATAATAGCATAAAGCTACTGGAAATTAAACAGACTTTAACAGAGTCCATTAGCTTACTTGAAATTGAATGTGCTGAAGCACAGAGCTTGAACAACAACCAAGAGTTACAACTTTGCACTTGTATAACTTAATAAATTTCAGTTTAAATGCATGTTTACATTTTATGCACCAAAGGGTGTTTATTGTCAGTCAAGTCGAGGGTCTAGGATAAAGAGTGGCATTTGATGTATAAAGAAATACACAACTTGAGCACATTTTTCTGAGTTACAGTATTGAGAAATATGAATACAAGAGATCTGACTCGACCTTGCTGAGCTTTTTCTTTTTCTGTTCTGAGACTATCATATTCTAGGTAAAATTCTTTGTATGTGTTTGCACGCATAGCACAGAAAGCTGATTATGTTAGAAAACAAAGTTGTAGTCATGACAGCAGGCAGTGCTGCAGATATACACATTGCTGCGAAAAAAAAAAAAAGCTACAACCTAGAAACAGCACACAAGATCTTGTGTCCTGCGCGATTGCTTGTTGATTATTTTATCCTATTAGGTATTTATGAAGTGTGTTTTCATGATTAGTGTACGAATTCTTGAGTTATGCCCAAAATGTTGTTTTGCTGGATCATGAGAATGGGATGAATGGACCCAAATTCCAAAACACAATGCATCCATTGTCAACTGTTGCCAGTTCAGAGGAAAAAAAGTGGTGTTACAGTCCAAACACTTCTCGTCTGGGTTTCCATCTGTGAATTCCACCAGTACAGCTGTTAGCAAGAGCCCTCTTTTCATTAGTACCTACTTGAATCAACTCGGCACGGTTCACCATGGTTTTTAAGGTTTTCCATTGGGTCATAGTACCTGGTACCAGGTGCTTTTTTAGTACCTGATCAGTCAGGGTTCCAAGCAATCCGAGGTGGTACTAAAATGTGACGTTGTGAGACTGAATTGGCTGGTCGGTAGCGTCACTTGATGAGTCACGAAAGCGCTGTTTACGAAAATTAAAACCACCATTTTTGAAACCTGGCAACGAGGGAAATGGCTACAAAAAACGATGCCATGATCCCCGAGTCTGACGAAAAGCCAGGTCAAGACAAGCCAGCCAAGACGGAGCAGCAGGTCTATCGGACATGTTGCTATGATGACAACAACACGCATTAGGTAGTACTGGATTGTAATGGAAAACCAGTCAAGCCGAGTTGAGTAGGTAGTAATTGAAAAAAGGGGCTAAGGAGTCAGCTACCACAGACAACTTCCAAATCCGTTGAAAAAGTTGTCCTGAAATTCGATTTCAAAGTTCTGCAGAGTTTAAAGCAGGACAACTTCACAATTCTCTTTGCAAATGCCTCACCTTTTAGTGGGAAGTTAAGGGAGATGTTCATATTACACAAATGCCCATAGCAGCACTTCACCACCAGCTGAGGAGTTGGTGTGGATCTGCAGCTCCAGGATCGGTCTTCGTCCCCCAAAATGCAGCCTTTACGAACGACCGATGTCCCGTTTATCACCGCGAGAGAGCTGAAGCACTCCTGGCCAAAGCATCGGTCCCCACCGCTGCAGGATGATCCGTCACATAAACATTCATTTCTCACACCGCCCTCACCTGCAAGAGGAAACAATTAGAAGATCAGGATTTATGTCTGAGAAGACACAGGTCCCACAGTAGATGAGGGCAGAAATATGACCCTTCATGTTCAATCACAATAAATGATCAATGCTCGCTACTTGTTTGCATGTAGCGATAATACATACTGAAGATGTAGGGAGAAAGTTTTGCTTGCCAGAATAAAGAAAAAATTCTACTGTAATCCGCTGCCACTGCAGTAGTTTAAAATAACACTGACAGACAGCAGATGAAAGGCAGACAGACTGAGGAGGGGTGGTGAAACAGGGGGGCAGCATGAATTTTGTTCTATGCATGCAACAAACTTGAGGGGGGACAGTGAAAGAAACAGAAGTAACACTGCGTATTTTAATTAGCTCACAGGAGGAGGGGGCGTTTCAGATGTCCATAACACAACTTTTCAAGCACTGTACATATTGTTTATTCTCTGGATATCTAGCACGGACACTACACCGAATTGGATCCTGTCTGGTTTTGTCGACAGGAACTTTCTGTCCCTTTCGATACCGCTCCTGTTCAGACCTGACGTAAAAAGCAGCCTTTTGGTTTATTATTAGAGACTTACCTTCTAAGCTTGAACAGGGGAGGACCAGTGGGATCACAACTAACAGAAACATGTCCACACTCGTCATTGTAGACCTGGAGAGGGGGAGGGAAAAAATGAAAACAAAAACAAAATGTACATGGCACTCCAACTATGAAATTGTGATTTTTATCTTTCTGTATCAGCACACTGGTGATATCTTTGTGAAAATTCCTTTCAGAGGACTACTTCATAAGACGGACTGAAAATGGCAGGATTTCCCCATCGAGGTAGGAATATTAGAGTGAGTAATTTTACAGAGGGAGACCTTTTCTTGTTTTCAGGGGGAAAAAGTCAACACCAAGTTTAAAATGCTCAAGTAAAGTGGGTCTCATGCCTTCCTGTTGTCCTGGCAACAAGGCATTGAGTGGCAAGCAATGGGGAGACTGGTGCTCTCCTATTGGCTGCCTCGGTGCGTGAGTGTGTGAGTTTGTGTGTGTGTGTGCATGTTGGAGGGACAGGCTGCTTGGGAGTGAGGGGAGAGGAGCAGACAGACATGAAGAGGAGGAGGAGGAGAAAGAGAGGAGGACAGTGTGGGTGCCCGAATACTATCGTTTAGAGACCTGGTGACAGTCTAATCGTTCAATATTTAATGCATTTGTAGGAACCGTCACATACGCTGTGCAGTAGTAGGGCTTTTTCCATTTTGGACAGATTTTTTTTGTCACAGTTCACCTGTTTATCTCACACTGCAAACGCCAAAATAACCATTTTATAAAGCTGATATGCAAGTGTTGAGCATACACGTAGCTTACAGCGTGCCCCGTTTATGCTATACCAAACACCGGGAACGTTTTCTTGGCACCATGTGCGTTTGCGCCTCAGTGCATCTGCGCCGCTGATAAGTACCCCAACCCCTCCAAGCTTTTGTGCCCGTCTCCCAGACATAAATGATTAAGCACGTAATGTTAGCATTAGGCCAACGGCGGCGTCTGCACAGGCCGCTCACACACAGACCACATGCTGCTCCTTTAATCAGAGCACAAAACAGAGGCTGCCACACAGAGATAATCAGGAGCTCTGTCTGCTCCCTTTGGACCGGAGAGGAGAGGGGAACAGCAACGGAGATATGAAGATCACGGGGCAGGCGGGCATGAGGAGGCAAGGGAGGAACGGCCCAGGGGCAACTCGGGGACAGTGGGTCAGACAAGGGCAGAGAACGGGGCGAGCGTGCGAGAGAGATGTGGGTCACGGTGGGCCGCAACACTCAGTTAGGCTAAAAGGAGGGAGGTGGCTGTGGGGGGAGCGAGACGAGGAGGTGTCTAGTGTCAGCGCCCAGAGGGACAGTGAGAAGAAGGGCGCCATGCTGTTGGAAGGGTGGGGTAGGTGAAGCGGGGGGACAGGCAGAGCTGTGATGGAGTCAGAAAGCCGGAGGAAACGGGACAAAGAGATAAGCAGAGGTGTAGAAGGAAAAAAAAATTAAAGGCCCAGGCCAAATAAAACAGATGCGTGTTCCTCGTTATCTTGATATTTTGACTCATACGACTGGTAAGAAACAAAAAAAGACAACATCAAGCACAACATGCTGACTCAAACACTGAACAGATCAATAACTAACCTCAATTAACTAAGTAGAGCATGTCACAAGGCTCTGCTTAATGGCATCAATTAGTGCAGGCAAATGATTTGCTGCATTTTTGTTTATATTTACTGCCAAAACAGCCTCCACGGGGCAATGAAATTATGTCTGTCTCAGTTCATCTCGCCTACTCAAACACTTTGTCTTTAACAAGCTATAAGGAACGAGGCACTCACTGGGTATGTGTGTGCTTCTTGGATAGACGGCAAATATTTTAGTCTGAGTTTTAAAAAAACTCAGACTAAAATGTGAAGTCCCTGCAAGTTTCAAACAGTACAGTATGCATATGCAGGAATTCAAAGTATACTTTATGCATTAATAGCAATATTTATGTTTCATAAGCACAGTAAACTGTTTCCCACCTATGAATAGGCCATGGCTAGTTGGTAGCATATCATAAACCCAGCTAACAGCTTGGGCTTCATAAACACAGAGCCAGACATGATATTGGAAACCTCAGAAGGCTTTCTTAGGGAAGGAAAAGAAGCAGAGCTAGCATCTGCAAAACTGATCTGAGCAGACAATTTTGTCGTACTGTGAATGCGTGTGTGTTGCGTCCCTCTACCCCTGCGTATTGAATTCTCTGGCAGCGTCGTGTAGTGTGTGCTCACAGAGCTGACATCCTGCCAAGGGTGTGCTCTCATTCCCCCACTCTGTCTCAACCCCCATCTTTCCTCTAATTCCCTCTTCCTATGTCCTCTGAAGTTGTGATGTAATAGGAAACTGGTATGAACGCCACATGCTTATTATAACTTAAGATATATTTTCCCCAGTTGCTTATTGTGGTTGGAGCCAATATTGTAATAAGCCTTACAATACTATAAGGCAGAGGGAAATGCTACGAGCTTGAGAAAGCTGCCCTGATTTTGATATGCATTAAAATACTTTGAGGAAAATAATGTTATATGTGCATTCCTTCTCTTTGCCTTCCTTGAAAGTGAAATGTCAGTTTGCATTGGATGCCATTTATTATGCTCTGAGCTCCTCTGTTCCAGTGGTAAAATTTGACTCAAGTATGCTATAAAGAAAAGGTTGACCTGCTTGCACTTTCGTTATACAGTAACTTTGCATTTCATTTTCTGAGGCACATTCAGGTGGTAATACCGTCATTCTAAATGGAGGAGACGTTCCTTCTTTCAGTAAAGTAAAGAATAGAAATACTTTTTCCACCAAAGACGTTCTTTACGAGGGCTTCAGATTCTCTGCGTAGGTACCGACCTTGTATGAGCAGACATAAAAGATTACATTTAGCTTAACACAAACAAGCCCTTGTGTGTACAATCTAAGATAAACACCTGAAATAGACATGGCTCAGCGAGAAGTATGTTAGGGTAGACTGCTGCCGAGCGCTACTAGAAAAACTTTAAAGTGATCCTGCATGTCGCCGCTGCCATTTTATGATGCCACAATTCCTTCCCAGACTCTTTTCCAGTGATCTCACTCCAGAGGGCCATCTTGATAAGCATTACTCTAAGAAGTTGAGCGGAGCTTAAAGTGATTAGATAGAGATAATTAAACATGCTACTCACATGCTGTTACTGGTGCAACTGGACCAAAAGGCATGCATAGTGGGGAATATAATTATTTGATCACCTGCTGAATTTGTAATTTTGCGCACTTACAAAGAAATTAACAGTCTCTAATTTTTTTAGTAGTTTCCTTTTAATGGAGAGAGACTGAATGTCAGCCAAAAAAATCAAGAAAAAACCCATTACAAAAAAAAAAAATTATAAAATTGATTTGCATGTTATTAAATGCAGTAAGTATTTGATCCCCTACAATCGAGCCAGAATTTAGAACCCAAAATTCTGGCAGCCACAGATTCTGGATTCACACGTGTGGCACACAAATTACAATCCATCAACTACAGACACTCCTGATCTCATATCCTGATGTGTATAAAGTACATCTATCAACAGCATCAATTTCTTTCATTCCAACCTCTCCACCACTGTGGACAAGCCCAAAGAGCTGTCCAAGGGCTAGAATGGGCTACCAGAACAAATGCAAAAACTTTGGTGAGAAGGTGACAACCCTTGGTGCAATTATGAATGAAATATAATAAATAATATAAAATGACTACCAATCAGCCTGGATCTTTAGCTCCATGCAAGATCTTGACTCATGGGGTGAGGATAATCAAGAGTAAGGTGGTGGAAAACCCAAAAATTAATATTAGGACACACTAAGTTGTAACAGGGACAAAAGTCTTTCAGCATCACCATCTTAAGTTTGCCAAGAAAGGTCTAAATGATTCGGAGATGCTTGGGAGAAAGTGCTGTGGTCAAATGAAACCAAAAATCAAGCTTTCTACCCGCCATGTTTGGAGGAAAAGAAATGCCGAGTATGACCCAAAGAACAAGTGGAAACAAAAGCGTAGCGTCTGGACTTCTCGGATGAGACGTGAAATGTCTTCAAGCAACTTCAAGAAATCCAGACACTTTTCTTTCCAAGCTCCTTAGACTACGATGACCTGGATGACTGAGAACCTTCACAGATACAACATGTGGAAACATTATGTTTTGGGGCTGTTTTACTGCTAAGGTTACAAGACAAGTTCAAAACGTCACGGGGCCAATAGACACAAAAAGCTACAATAAACGTTGGGACGAGAACCTCATTCCGTCAGCCAGAACACTGAAGATGGGCCATGGATGGGTCTTCCAATGACCCCATAACATACAACCAAGTCAATAAAGGACTGGTTAAAGAATACGCTTGTTAAGGTCAGGGAATGGCCTAGCCAGTCTCCAGACTTCAATCCTCTAGAAAGTCTGTGGAAGGAGCTGAAACTTTGAGTTACCAAGTGGTAACCAAGAAACCTAAAGGATTTTGTGAGTTTCTGTAAAATCCGTTTTAAAACCTGTGCAAACCTGGTGGCCGACTACTAGAAACATCATACTCCTGTGCTTGCCCACAAAGGTTTCTCCACCAAGTACTAATTAATGTTTTGGTTGGGGGATCAAATACTTATTTCACTCAATGACATGTAAATCAATGTGATTTGTAATGCAAATCAGCAGAGGATTAAATAATTATTTCTCCCACTGTAGGCAGCTGTGATTTTAACCATTTGAGGAATTTTCTGCTTACGAGACATTAAGTATGATTAAAGCCAACATGTTATTGCCACAATAATTTATAGCTGACATTTTAAAAGTGATACAAGACACATATTAATCTAGTTGGACGCTTTATTATTTGGGTCTGTTTTGTATTCAGGTCAGCTAAAGAGGAGGATGACAAAACACTACTTTGTCTGATGAGCATGGTGTATCACCGAGGTTGAGGAGGGAGGAGGCTGAAGCCCTGCAGGAGCTGCTGAGTCATCATGCTGGCAAAGAGGGAGACGAGAGGTGGAATCTGTGTCTGAGCTGGCAGGCTGGCACAGTTACCATGGCACAAATAGCCTGGGCACCGAGGAAACTGCAGCAAACTGCAGGGTGGCGAGAGAAGAAACAGGCAGAGACTAGGGCAATGCAGATCCTGCTGTTCGTGTCCCTGTCCCTCTTTGCTGACCCACACCCAGACAGCCAAAGTGCCAGCATGCCATCAGGGACACACAGATGGTTCGCTCCTAGGTGGATGTGGGTGTAATACAGACCTGAGGGCGAAAAAAAAAAATCGTCCTCTTTGCAGCAGCCCACATTCGTATTCGCACTACAGCTTGGAAAATCAACATGCTCACCTCAGTTTTAAACCACTCTTGGGTTAGAAAAATAAAGCACTCAGAATGACTAAAGGTAAGGTAATATAAATGCACAAGCTTAACTTCAAATCTTAGAAGGTTATGAGTGTAAAACAGACTTCCTTTATTCAATGTTTACAAACTGAATAGAAGGCAAAAATATAAATTTACTTTAAAAAGTAGAGTGCACACTAAATGCTCAAACATCAGTACTTGGTTTGATTTCTCTTCCAGGGTCTAGAAAGAAACTAGAGCTGGGGGAAAGCTGAGGCATGTCCCCGACGTGCAAGCTTTGGCTTTAGCTAAGGCTGCTCCCTCCGAGTCATACAATCACCTGGTCACTGAGAATCCCAACTCAGCTTCCTTTCCCTGTTGTCTCACCTTTCCACTTGCTAGCTATATATTTTATGTAATATATATTGCTGTGAAAACTGATTACTTAAATTGACATAATGTCTGTCATGATACAGACTACGAGAAAACCGCCCTCAACCTGGCCCGGTTATTTTAGAACTAACCTGCATAAAAAACACATTTTTGCCATTGCCAAACTTCAAATGCCCACAATTTCACATTCCACAGCGCCCTTGTATGACCAGCGTATATCATAATATTCTGTACTGCTAATGTGTGTGTGAAAGCCACTGGAAAGCAAAGCTCTTAATGTTTTTATGCCTGTGAAGCTCTTTGAACCTCTACATGAATTTGATTCAGTTCAAATAAAACTGAATTGAATCGAGTCGAGTTGAACTGAATTAACCTTTCGAAACACTCCTCTTTCTCCGAGGGTCTCATCAAAATGGGAGATGAAAGGACTTCTGAGGTCCCCTGGAATCTGCAGTGCCCCATTAGCTCCAGCCAAACTCCATCTCTTAGGGCCTTGCAGTATCTCAGCAGCCGGCCTCTTTTACAATGTGAGGAATGTAATCAAATGCAAATACCCCCCCCCCTGTTTGCCCAGTGTTTCACTCACACATTAATTGTGGTAGGCAACAGCATAGCGAGTTTTTGTTCTTTGGGTATGGTGCTACCTAAGGTGTATGCACACACTCACACCCACACTTTATTCTGGACCTCAACCAAATTTAATCAAAAAACTATTCTTTTCTTCCTGTTGTGTCTCATCTCGCCCTCCACCTCTCAGGGCCTAAAGCAATATGGGGATTTTTTGTTGTTTTGTTTTGTTTTTTACTTAAAATGTGTTCAGTGGGTAGGAGAAAGAATGAACAGAGGCAGAATTAGCAGGAGAAAAAAATATACTTAGTCACATTAAAAAAATACATATATTTAAACCAAAAACATCACTTTTATCTACTTTTAGTGATTTTTTTTTTTAGGGAATCACATTTCAACTTTACATTACTGTAATGTAATTAGCTGGTAAATTAGCAAACAATCCTCAAAAGCTCTGAAAACATTACCCAACATCTTACCACTTATCTTACTATGAAGCAAACACAATTTTCCTTGTGAAGCAAAAAGTCTCAAAAACATTTTGGGAGAAAAAACTGAGGAATTAATAAGATATAGTATTGTTTCAATTTTTTAGAAATAGACTTGTAAGCCTTGGCATTTGTTCTAAACACTGCGGGGGACAGACCCACTTTGTCCCCTTTGTTCTTTAAATAAGATGGTAACACATAAAGAAGATGTAAACTACAACTCCAGTGGGTCACAGCTGTGGCACAAATCGCAACACTTACCTGAGAGGTAATAACTTTAATCATTTTCTAAAGGTGAATCCTCACATTAATTTAATTTAATCAAATCAACTGTAACTGTAGACCACAGAAAGTATAAAATAAGGACGTAGCTTCCAGATCCGAAGTGCCTTAAACCTGCATTTCATCTGTACGCCAGCAGATGGCAATAGCTGCGATTGCAGAAAGAATTCCAGCCCTATAGAAGTCTATGACAAAATTGTTTTCTGACTTGACCTCTGACTCAGTCACTAATTTCAGGTCATAGTGAATAAAAAAAAAGTAAGACTGTTTTGCAAATCTTGGCCATAATTTTCCGTTTAGAGGATTAGCCACAGTTCGCTCACTGGATAATGACTTACGATTGACAAGTCAGTGAGCGCAGAGTTGCACACTCGCCACTCCTCATGACATCACCATAGCTACATCCATCTTTTGTGCGGTATATGCTGGAGGTCTATGTTTTTCCAATGATTCTCAAGTTGGAATAAAAGATTAGAAACTTAAATGAAACAAATACCCATCTCATTGCAATGTAGCTTTTTAAAGAGGAAGTGGGCTGAGAAACGGGTAAATAAATGCTTCATCAATAAAGCAGATCGCTTCCAACAATACAAACATTTGCTGTGTGACAGGAAAAAATAAAGAAAGAATGAAAAGTATGTTTTCTTGTTTCACAACAAAGAAAAACAGCCATTTTCATTTCTAATAATACTTCACTGAAGTTTGATTCATTTGAAAAGAAAAAAAAAAAGACATAACACCTGAGGCAATGTTAGATAGATGTCAAACACATATGATAGAAAGACCAGGAGAGTACAGTGCAATGTAAACAATGAGTATCAAATTACATTCTCACACATGAACTCTGGAAAAGATTGGGAAAAATCACCAAACCTTTGCCTTTTTTGTCACACGCAGAATGTAGTGCAACTTCTTCAAAGACAAAAAGAAACCCTAAATAAATCTCTTCACAAACTAATGTTATGGCTGTATCGTGACTTTGTGGTATGGGACGTCTGGGGTGGGACAAACTTAAATGCTTTACAGCGTTGCGATGGCACTGTTAACGAGTCTTCTACGTAATAGTCACCATAGCAATTAGACATTCATTTTCACACAGCATCAAAACATCTGAAACAGCCAGTTCAAACAGACTTTATGGCCCAGAGCCACGTTTGCCAGCAAAGGAATGCACAAACATTCTCCCTCCAAATGACCATCTTATAAAGGTTACCGCCCTGGGGCAATATTTCACTTAAAAGGACACCTTGATTTGTATCAAGGTGGACCCATTGCACCAGTTTTGTTTCTTGTAAAACAAGTCAGGCGACTAGACTAAAGAGCATTGAGTGCAGTTACCAAAAGCTATGAGAAGGCTCTAAAAGCTGAGTGACAAGACTCAGACGGATAACAAGATAATCCACAGTGAGTGACCAACCATACGTGGAAAAAACATTCATCACACCACTGTGATAACCACTAAGTAAACAGCTTGCAACAAAACAATGAATCTGTGATCGGCAGAGAGACTGATCGGGGCCATGACATCCTCCTGCCAGTCGAGCCTTAATGGCTTTGAGTTTCCTGCCTTCCACGAGCAAAGACTTCCCAGGCAATCTGAGCACAAGGAAACCGTTTTGAATAATCCTTTACAATAAAGTCATTAATGTGATGTAACTATTTTCTGAAAGTAGATATTCTGTACTATCATTTATGACTCTGCAGTTGTTATTTATGATCATGTGGTAACACTGTTTAGTCAGGTTTTTTTACTCCTGTTTAGGTTCACGGAAATTTCTGGGGCATTCGTGGTTACCTGATTAAGTATTTGCTAATTAAAATAGTCATTAGAATTAGCAGCCATGGATTTGGCACATGTGCGAAGCAAAATATACTGCTACACCGTGACACTGATATCAGCCATGTTGCCGATCCTTACTTCGATGTCAAAAGCAGTGAATGTCTAAATGTTATAAATGGCCCAATTGCCTCAAGCATGGGGGACGGGAATTCGAGCAAACCCCATCGACTACGACAGCAGAGCACTACCATCATAACAGCACCATTTCAGTTTACAACCCCATGACACGTGAGATGAAACGTAGATTATTTTCAATTCACAGACAAAGTGCCCACACCAAATAAGAGCCCGTGCCCGGGAATGAGATCAGAGAGAAGCAGAGACTGAAACAAAGCCATAACTTTCTCCCCTAACAGCTGAGCGATAAGACAAGAGCACTGAAGCGAGTGAAGGGCTCATAAAATGTGTATTGCAGACTGTCTCCAGTGCAGTCTGGGGTTATTGTGGAGAGAGAGGAGTGGAGCCGTGAGCACTGCAGATCTAGGTGTGTGTGTGTGCGCATCTGAGGAGACAGCAGCGTCTCGTCTCTCTTCTCTCTGTCTCCACTGGTCTTCATCCACATTTGAACACAGAACAGGAGGAATCGATAAGTCTGCGCAGAGCCACCAGATGAGGAGACGAGCGAGCTCCCAAACAGCAAACAGAGGAAGACTAAAAATCTGGCAGAAACACAGGGAGTCTTTTATCTCATTCTCTTCTTCCCCCCTCTCTAACTTCCCATGTCCTGCAGAGCCTCAAAGTCCCAGACAGCTCTTCTCATCGCGATCTGTTTGGGCTACATAAGGCTGATGATTATTAAAAGGCTGAAGGATTTTTTGACTAAAAATAACGCTGCAGACAGAGGGCCCCTTTCTAAAAAGCTGGACACAAGCGTAGAGCGCAAGCAAATTCAACCCACATGCCGCGTTTCTCTGCAGTCGCCCGCCTCGTTTGATGCCAGGTCTGTTACTAGTCAAACTTTCGAGTAAGTCAGCACACAGACAAACAAGCCCGGGTCACACATGCAGACAAATCGGGACGCGAGAAAGCTGAAGGTAGCTAGTCTGACACCGCACTTCAAGCCAGATTCTTTCCCCTTTCTATCCTTGAGCCTGCACCTACCACCTGTTTACACACATATCCACACACACTTTCCTCCCTCGCCCCTCCTCCCTCCTTTTCTTCTCCAACTTGAGAGCCACCTACAAGGAAACGCGATGAGCCTCAGACATGAAGCAGTCTATCTTGGTCTCATAACTGCAGTTCCCTTGTTAATGACAGACTGTGTAACCTGATTCCACACACATATGCATATACACACGCCACTCCCCCGCCTCCCCCGACACACACAGACTCTCGCAGGGTTTCAGAGCTTTTCTCTCACTCCACTCGCATATTGTTCCAACCCAAACTGCCAGCTGCTTCTGACAGCCAAATTATTGGGCACACTAAATGATTGCTATCGGAAGCCTGCCCCCCCCCCTCAAAGCAAACCCCTCGCTTCATATTTTCTGAAATAGCCCGGACTTGCAGGGCAAATGAGGCGATTTATGGTCGTCAGAAGAGGAACAGATACAGGAAAACACTGGTGTAGGGGCCAAGATATTCATATATAAAGAACCTGGGAGCTGCTATGTGGAAATTTAAAAAACAAAAACTGTTATAACCTCAGCTCACTATCACAAGCCAAATTTCTGGTTGTCTGTATTCGGTGTGATACTTCGATTACTAATTGTTTTTCAGCAGTTTTTGCAGTAATTCTGATTTCACTGCAGCCTGTAGTCTACCTCTCTGAAAAACTATGCATTGCCTTTCAGCATCTCTCATTTGATAACGCGTCATCCTCAACTTGATTATTACTTTACTCGGCATGCGTGCGAGCAGTTAACAAATAATATCGGAGGACACATTTTCAGATTATTCAGTTGCCACGTTAGCATGGTATGTTTTGGGGGGTGAGCATACCAAAAATGAAGCCACTGAAAAGTAACATAGTTATGTGGGACTTTTAGAAACCTTTTGAAAAATGTACACGCTGGCCACCAAAGATGCTCTATAAATATAAACATAACTGGCTGACGATTCAGCTACTACCGTTAGTCTGTTTGAAACCAGACCAAGAGTTGGTGAGAGGGAGGAAAGGCCCAAAATGGTAGGAACAACGGCCACAATCAGACTGGTAGTTATTTCCTCAGATGAACAGAACAGGCTCCCCAAGACACCCCCACCCCCAGAGTTGAACTACACACAGTCACCCAGACAGCCTGACGTCGCTTTATCTGACCGCTATCAGCCAGACTCCATGAGGCCAGGCCTCGAGAATGACCGGCGCTGGCCAAGAGGCCACAGCTCAGTGACTGGCCAGCTATGGGGTTACATTCTCCAGATCACACAACCACACAGCCACTAAGTGCCACCTAACGCTGCCACTAACCAAGACACAAAACCCTAAAGCGCTATCCACTTCAAGCCTTCACTGATTTGAACATCTCTACGCAGCTAATATGGAAAAAAAAAGAGAAGAAAAATTATATTTGTGAACAAGTCGTCTGTGTGCTTCAGCTAGTAGCAGCAATTAAAGGGCTCAGGCTAGATGGAGATTTTTCCTGAAACTGTGACAAAAAAGCTTTGAATGGAGACGGCTTTCAATTTAAACCACCCTTTTAAAAATGAACATGTCACCCCCCTGACCCTAAGTTGCATAAGCCGTTAAGAAAATTGATGGATGGATTAGTATGGATCTCGCCCAAATAGTCTCCCATGCCAGACTTCGGGCTTCGTGTGTGTGTGACAATCAGATTGTCATGCGCAGACACATCAAGTGCAGCCAACTTAAAAAGATGCGACTAAAGCAGAAAGTGCACATTCGAAAGGCTTCCCTGGCATTTAAACTCAGTGTGTGGGATTGTCATTTTGTGGGATCTATAACAATGAGTTGATTCTGAGAAAGAGCACTTAAGTGTGAGACGTTCCCCATTCACACTTCTTGCAATCAGCACCATTATCTCTGAATGTTTTCAGCCAGCATTAACACCTTTCTAATGAAGTTGGCACCCTCTCATCAGCGGGTCTACCAGGTTTCCATTAGATTGTCCCTCCAAGTAGTTCTCACATATCATCTTCTGTTTGGTTTAAATCTATTCCACATCCAATTGATGCTCTATCAGTGACGTTTAAGTAGCTTTTTTTATATTTCCAACTTGCCCAAAATTAAATTCCGAACCACTCGTAGTCATACTGTGTGTTCATGAGTGTTGGTGGCGCCGCCCGCCCCGCAGGACTGCGTTTGTGATGTTAAAAGTGCTCAGCGGGCGATGATGGGGCACGATCGAGCTGGAACGACCCTCCTAAAGACTGCATGACAAAAACTCTTCGAGTCACAGCTACTTGCAATGTCGTGAGCTTGATTCGACTGCTTAGGAGAAATCAGAACCCAGCACAGTCGCAGTTGAAAACCAGATTGTGGTTATTTTAGCCTGGCGCTCATCCTTTCATTAACAAGAGACACATCTGACAAGGTCTCTTAGCTGATGGTACACCGAGCTGCGCGGGGAGCTTATCAGAAGCGGCTATTTTGTTTTTGCAAAGTCACAAGAAAGACACGTTAGATAAAAATATGCTCGGCTGCAGAACCAAACAGGCCACGATTTTACAAAGCAGCTGAGAGAGGGAGACGGGTTTCTTACGGGAGCGCGTCACGAAGCCGTCTCCGGCAAACTTTTCCACGTCTACCGAAACGTCCGCGCGCATATTCCAGCATAGTCTGGATTAAATGACATTTTAGAGACGTCACGATAAATAATAATAATAATAATAAAAACTTACCTCGCGGGGTATTTTTTTTCCTCAAAGTGCTGTGAGGGCTAGGTAACCGGCGCGGGTCGAACTATTCTGCCATCTCCCGAGAATTCACCGACAATACCCGATTTGTTTTCCAAAGTCTGAAAAGCAGAGGCTACATGACGCCAACATTCACGCCCGTCTTTCACTCGGCAGAGAAAAAAAAGAAGCCAAATATAATAATTGTTAAAGTGACAAACTCACTCCGTACTCATTTTTAGGAGAGAGTAAAACCGAAGACGCATTTTTGCTACGCTGTCTGGGCTTCACAACTGGCACCCCGGCGGCGGCGTTTTCGAAGGCAAAAAGCCAGGATTGGAGGAGGAGGAAGTTACCTTGGAACGCAGTAACGCTAGGTGAGACGATAAAGACACGTTTCCTGTCGGCCATTTCAAAATAAAACTCATCTGTTTAATTTTAGTCTGAGGAGCTTTGTGGCGTAGACTGACAGAAATCGCCTCCTTCTGAATGTCAACAAGACAAAAAGAGACTAAGCCAGGTGCTGTTGCTCTGGACTGGAAGACCAGCAGTGATGCCGTGTACAAGGAGGGGATGAGAAGACTCTACTTTCCGAGGAAGCTCAGATGCTTTAATGTGTGCAGAAAGATGTTGGAGATCTCCTACCAGTCTGTGGGAGCGAGTGCCATCTATTTTGCTGTTGTCTGCTGGGCAGCCAGCATCAGTGCCAGAGATGCCAGCAGGATGAACAAACTAATCCACAAGGCTGGAACCATCATTGGCAAGAATCTGGAGGCATTTGAGCCAGTGAGGGACAGGAGGTCACTGAACAAACTGCTCTCCATCACAAACAATCCATCTCATTTCCTCCGTGCTACACTACAGAAGCAGCAGAGCTCCTTTCCCTCTTATTTAACCCTGCAGCCATAAAGAACGCTGCAGGAAATCATTCCCATCATTCTCAATAAAACAGTACAGCAACTCTCTCCAGATGAACACCAGGACATAGAATTCCACACAGATGTCTGTGTCAAACATTAATATCATTTGCACTACTCCTTTGCACAATTTCGGTCTTACTTTTTATTTTCATTATTTTTAGTATTGCTGTTTATGTAAAAATTGTTTGTATTACATCCCATTAAAGCACCTTCACTGTGGGCCAGCAGTACTTTTACATTGGGCAGTTTTCTTTTTATTGTAGATTGTACTGTTTTTATTATTTTATTATCTTTATCATGCTGCTGTAATACAGTAGTTTCCCTATCTATCTATCTATCTATCTATCTATCTATCTATCTATCTATCTATCTATCTGAGCACTTTTATAATAGCGTTTTTGTCATAAGGGTCAAATGCCAATCTAATTGTGTGTCAATTTTTTTTGCCTTATATTTAAGCCTATAATGTTATCATTATCCTGTCATAAAGTGCTTTTTAGTCATAACTTGGTATAATTAAGAAACATGCAATTTTTGAATACAAACAACATTGTTTTTCTCATAATAAACACATTAAAACAATTTTCTGAAAAATAACATGTGTTGTGTCAATGTATTTTATGTTTTTTTTTTTATGTGAAGTGTTTTTAAAAACGCAGATGCACTACATATCTAGTGAAATGTCTCTGGGTTCACCCATAAAGTGTTTTTTGCCTTGTTTGCTGTTGTGCATTATTCGTTTTCTTACTACCAAATGATCTCAAGCGACATTGCGATTTTCTACTGAAGGAATAGACTGCATTTCCTGTCACTGACATATTCTCTCTGGGTAGCTTAACATGTTAACGCAAGCTCCTTCTGCTATTTGGATTGCTGTGCGCATGCCCTTAGCACTTGAGAGAAGCTCTGAACATACCTGAGGCCTCATAAATTATTGGTATACTTCAAAGCATGCATGGCTGCTGAAGAGAAAAGAAATAATACTTTTAAAAAAATTATCCTAAGAGGTATTCATGTACAGAAAGTAAAGATAATGTCCCATCGCCTACAGATTTGCATCTACTTTTAATTCTTTATTACATTTTAAGAAGAAAGTGCAGACAGCCTATTTGTTCTGGTTGAAAAGAAGAACTTTGGCTAAAGGATAGTTTATGCTTGGATAATATTTATTTATAGAAAATTACTGAAAAGTTGTCAATGGATTATTTTTAAAAACATTATTCAAATACACCTTACACAAAGCTTTTCAACTCATCAAATCTCTCTCTAAATGTCATCCACATAGAAAGGCGGCAGAAAGAAGTCGGTGCTCTAAGACAGTAGCCCCCAATTAGTGGGGGGTCATTGGTGTGCCTTGAGGCAAAACTCTAGGAAGTGTTTTTCAACCAAATATTACCCCTTTTTGGGGGGGGGGGCTAAATAAATTCAAACCCCAATTCCAAGTTTTTGCAGTCGTCGAAGATGCACGCTGCAGAATCATTTCACCTTGCAAAACTCACAGTTCAAAGAAATCATTAAAAGCCCCAAATTACCATTGACACTCATGCCCATGATGAGTGTAACTAACTAACTAACTAACTAACTAACTAACTAACTAACTGTTGTTTATTTTCCATGCACCCTATGAGAGTATTCACTCTGCGCGCAGCACTTTTCTCTGGACAGCAACTGTATTCCAGAGGGCTCAAGCCCATTTCCATGGAAACGCGATCACAACTTCCAAACAGTCTGCCTCCATTCACAGCGGCTTCTTACTCCGCTTTCACAATGAATTCAGAGTAAGTCGAAGACGTTTTACTTTTAAATCAGAAGTTTAATCGCTATCTTGAAACTTTAACTTTAGTCAAATTAGTCATGTTACTTTTCATGTGTGTTTAATTACAGGCGTGGATAAAAATCAAGGCTACCACAGATAGCATTAGCTAGCTAACGCCAAGGTTAATTTAACTATTGCTTTGATGGTGCTAATGACAACAGCTTGCGGCTCGCTCAAGGTATAACTGGAAAGGTTGACAGGCTTTTTTGTTTCCGTTTCCACCAGAAATTCCTTCGTCCTCACGAGTAACGATCTGGAACCAACAAAATATGGCAAGTAAAACTAATTATGAATACTTAGTTCAGGGTGTGCAGGTTGTGCAGGTTATGAGGATAACACTGGTGAAGAGATGCTGTGTGAAGTAACATAGGCACATGGGATAATGCAATTTATAAAGCAATGAATATATATACATATGTGTGCTTGTATACTAAAACTGCAGGAGTCAAAACAGGATACCATACAAGCAATGGCCACATCTCACAGATCCCTGGACTGTCCCCAACTACCAACACTCTTCCTGAGGAGAGGATCCGAGGGCGAAGAGTTGGAGTCCTAGAGAGTGACTCTGATTATGTAAAACTTGCAAAACAAGGAGGGCATAGGGGTAAAGCCGTCCTGTTTTCTTACATTTCCATGTTTTCCTCTTGCCGTATGATAACTGCTACAAACATTAGTTTTTTCCCCGTGTTTTTTTTCTTATCCTTGTTCAACAGGACTTCTGTGCCACGAGGAATCAGTTATTTCTAAACCCAGTTCATACAAACCTCCACATTGGTTTGGCTTTGAATCAGGAGACTTAAGCGAGCCAAGGTTTCAAATTTGTGTTATTGTTTTCACCACACACTCATAGTAGTATGTACACTTTGTTTTTATTCTAATACGTACATAAATACTTGCCAGTAATACCGTAAAGATTCTCCCACTGCTAGTACTGTTTATGTAACAAAACCTTTTTTTATGCTACTATCCTGTTTCGCTAACCACAGCCATATTTTATTTTATTTTTTATTTTTTTAGGGGGGGGGGTTGTTTTTGTGTTTTGTTTTGTTTTTGCTTGATCTTGTATTTAAGCTGTCATTAAGGATTTGATACTTTTATATACCTATATTGTTTTGTTTTTTCCAACTGGCTAATTAACAGTGAAGAGAAGAAAATCCCCGGAGCTTTTGAACCACAAGAACCTCCTTTTGGGAGCGACAACATGTCAGCCTGGGAAAGAGACAACAGCAGCAACAATGAGAAAGAGGAGGTACAGTAATGCCAACGTCATTTAGAAAACTAATATTGGCATATGATCCATAAACAATTATCCCACCTCTTGTGTTGTTAGTTTAAGGACTGTTCGCTTAGTGTTACATACTCAGTATCAGACAGTTATTTTGTGCTTCAGGTACTTTCTTCCTATGACTTAAGCTGATTGCTAAGTTGTCAAAAACAACCAAATTAGGAATAATTAGTCAACAACAAATAACGTCCACGTATTCTGATTTTGTTTTTACTTTTTTTACAGGACAACATTTCTGTCCACCAAAGTGAGACAGAGAAGTTGCAGACATCCAGTCAATATCATGAGGCCAGCAAATTCAGGAGGATGTAAGTGAGTGTGGTCACAAGATGGTGCTGAAGTTCTGTTTTATGCTTAGTGTAAGGGAGGTCTCATAGGGCAGTTTTACAACTCTATTAGATTCTTTGACATAAAGTATAATGGGATCATACTAATACACTAATACTAATCCACCTTTGTTGTAAATGACATTGGACATGTATAATAATGAATTGCAGTCCATTTTGGTCTTTATTTTAAGTAGACAACCACATAGAATAAAAGGTCATAAAGCTTTCCTGCACTGTCCTGTATGTGCAACTATTTCTGATTGCATTCAAACTTGTTTATTTCAATTTGTGCTTGCCAGTAATGAAACTGAACTCAGTTGGAGAGCATCAGATCATTTAACTGTGTATACTTTTTTTATTTAGCAGAAAGTAATCAATCATGTCTTTTGGGAGATGTTCATGGGCCTACACAGGCAGCATCAACCCACCGTATTTTTCAATATGGGGTGAAACTGGAGCTCTTAGATCTCCCTCATAAAACATACACTCAGGGAAGATGCGGGTGGGGGCCTGGTTTGAACCCAACAAGGCAACAGTGCTAACCACTGAGCCACCATGGTGCCCAACTAACTATGTGTGGTCCTGCTGAAATGGGTGGATAAAGTGATCAAAATTAAATTATTCATCCTAAATGACTCACTGTCAACAATATTGTCAGCCATTAAAACCAGAACAACCAGGAGTCTCTAAGATCTGGTGTATGACCTACTGCTTACTTACTCATGGTTAGTCAGTTAAGGTATAAGCATTCATGTGCGTACTGGCACACACAAGAGTTCCCTGAAATGAGGAAGCAGACGAAATAAGATCAATAAAGAGGCAACATGTATGTGCTTTTTATTATGAGGACACCATCCAACTGTCCATTGTAATTAAAACAAAAAAACAAAAAACTACAGTAGCGCATGTCTCAACTTTATGCAGGAAATATGAAGGAGAAAGAACATACTGATATACTATTAGTATATTATGGTTGCCGATGCAGGCCAGAGTTAAAGATCAGCATGAGTGAGGGAACTAAGCAGAGGGGTGAAAATCAATATTTGGGTTTTAAAAGCACAAGAGTGGAACAGCAGTGTAAACTACGAACAACAGTCCAATGTTAAATCCAGAAGGATGCAGTAATGAAACTTTAAAGTGACGCAGACTTCCATGAAACCCAAAAAACCTTTGCTGTTATTCTTGCCCAACCCTGCAGAGGTGAGGCACTCCACCACTGTTTAATCCAAGTACAAACATCATTTTGTTACAGGAAAACAGTGTTGTTCCGTCTAGTATGAACTTCAGATAAAGGCGTGGGATGGTTTTGGTTTTTTTTATTTTTACTATGAATTTTTCCCCATTGTTTTTACTAAAGAAACAACAGAAATAGTATATCACAAATTAGTTAATTACATTGACTTTTATTAAATGTTATTTAAAATCAAACAAACCTTAATTTACATACAGTGATTTGACCATCTATTTACATATATTCGAACATGTCTAGAGTATTATTTACTAATATTATTTATATTTGGCATTCTATTTTTGTAATAATTAGCATTAAGATAATACAGTATAGGATGCAAAGATAAATGGCTAATTAAAAAATATATGTACATTCAAGACATTGTTGTAATTACATTCTGTCCCATACGTCTCTGTGTTATGATGACAAAGCACAAATGCTCTTGGGCAGGTTGAAAACTTAGGTCAAACAAAAGAGCACCCAGAGAGATGGTTTCTAGATGAATCCAGATGTTCATCTATTTGCTTTGGCTAACAGCTGATTAGTTCTGTGTGCTCTCTGTACCTCTGGGAAAATGTCAGTGACTTGTCAATAACCCAAAATAACCTAGCATGCAATGCACCAGAGATCGCAATCATATCTGTTGAAAGCACTCCACAAAAGGTCTACCATAAAAAAGTTATGTGAAATTTGCAAACACCCCAGTGTGGTAATATATTAAGCTTGTTTCCAGAACAGATCAACCTACCGCAACAACTTTTAACTGCTGATCAGCTACAGTGTTGGAGGAAGATGAGTCAGTTGCAATCTGGAAGTTTCCAGACAGAAGAAGACTGACTAACCAATTGGAGAAAAATACTTGTGCTTCTCTTTGTTGCTTTGTCTGAATGAGATAAGAGATAAATGTTGAATGTGAGACGCAGCCAGTCTTTTGCTGGATCATTTTTGCACAGTTGGATCTTTGCTATATTTGTGTTGTTTGACAAATACTAGTTGGGAAGCCAATTTTTGTAATAAGTAGCCAGAGTTTATTCAGTGTTGGAGGGGTACGGTCCATTTTTAATGTTTAAACTGTGAGCACTGTAGGCAATGTGTAGTGAAATAACGAGCTTTGTTGGTAAAGAGAGACAGGGGGAAAAGACATTAAAAAGATCAAATTTTCACATTTCTGTTTCCATCATATTTGGACTATATTTTTAATCTTCTTTCAGAGTAATTGACAAGAAACCAGCCCCTGTTGACATGTCAAAGCTGCTCAGCTTTGGTTATGCAGAAGACAGCAAACCAGTATAGTGACGTGTCAAGTAAGTAGTGCAGCAATGGAGTTACAGTCTTAACCCTATAATAAGCATAACACATTCCAATTTCCTATTCTGCTTTCAGAATGCTCATTTTGCATTATGAAAGGAAATTAAGGCCAACTGCTAAGCAGTGTATGGATTTTATGAGGGTATTATTATTAATAACCAGAATGTAAGATGAAGGTGACAAAATTCAAGGTCCCAGTCATTACGACTTTAGAAGGCTTTTTTACACTATAACAGAGATAATAGTGAATTATGTGACAATGACTTGTACTCTTATATATTTCAATTTCAATAGATCGGAAGACTGCCGGGTGCCTGGATGGGAAAAGGGCGTACAAGATTCATGCTGAGACACATCAAGCATTTTACTTTGTTTTAGAAAAATTTGTATTGTTAAATCTTTTACTCGAGCATTAAAGTGCCTCACTGAATTACAGCTTGGACGTTTTATTTGTTGTGATTTTTAGTGGTGCACTTGAAGGCATCAGTTAACTCCTGTGTTAAGTTTTTTTTCTGTGTCTACAAGGCTGTAAATGTCAGCTTTTGGGAAAAGTTTGATAATTCAAATAAAATGAAACCAATCCAAAATGAAACATTTATATATATGTATATGTCACAGGCTAAATTTTCCACACTAAACATGATTCCTGTTCGTGGTACATTATGTTGGCTCTGTGCGTTTCTGTTTTCATATGACAGTGCTAGTGTCAGAGGTTATCTCGGTGTTCTTTTGCTAAATTATGTCAGTACACGCCAGTTATTCACCAGCCTCAGATTGGCTATTGGTGACACATTACACACCCACACACTCATGCTTTTGTAAGAGTTAACAGCCTTTAAATTAATACTGTCTTTATGAACAATTGCTTATTTTGACTGGTGCTCGTATGACTTTTTAAAACTTTACTTACACTTTAGAACCAGACAGTAATTTTTATTATTTTGTGGTAATTTTATGGTTGATCGTACTCTGTTTGTTTGGGGCTTGGAGGATGTTTTTGTGGGAGCAGCAGGGTTGAGCTACTCCCCTCTTTCTGGAACCAATGAGTGGCAAGGTCAGGGGTCACCACTATATCTGCTGCACAGTCTGATATGACTCTTATTTGGAAAGCAGTACCTGAAAACACTTGGAGGTTTTGAGACATTTTAAAACTTCATTTGAAAGTGTACGCTGCAGTAATGACACCGATACTTCTGAACCACATGGGGAATGAGGAGAATGAGTATATAAAGTAAGTATTGGCAACCTAAACTAAGTCTTTTAAACAGTATTTCTTGATGCTTTTCTTTAAACTTATGTCACTGTTTTAATATATATTTAATCCATGCACATATACTTATTGTCGATTCACCACTCTTCATGAACTAAAATGCATTAAAATCTACTCAGTGAACAGGTCCAAGTAAAAAATCCCAATTTGGACACCATGGAAGAGGACATTCTCTACCACTTCAGCCTGAGCACTAAGACTCACAACCTTCCTGAAATGTTTGGAGATATTAAGGTTTGTAAAATAAGTCCAGCTTAAATAAAACTATTTTCTAAAAGCTCTAAAACAATTCAACAATCCTCTGTTTTTCTCTGTTTCCCACAGTTTGTGTGTGTTGGTGGCAGTGCAAACCGAATGAAGGCTTTCGCCCAGTTCATCCATCAGGAGCTGAAACTGCCAGGAAACCCAGGAGACATCAAAGATATCTGTGAGGGAACTGATCGCTACTGCATGTACAAAGTGGGACCAGTTCTCTCTATAAGTGTAGGTATTTCATTATTTGCTGTGGGTGGAACTGTTCTTTAAATGTTGTTAGGAAAAAGTATTTTACGGATTAGAAAATGTAATTTCTACGCAATGTGTATATAATACAGCATGGAATGGGAGTCCCATCAATCTCCATCATGTTGCATGAGCTCATCAAGCTCCTGCACCATGCCCAGTGCTGTGATGTGGTTTTGTTTCGCCTGGGAACGTCTGGTGGAGTCGGTAAGTCTTTTTGATTTTAATATGAGAAAGTTTTACATGCAGTTAAACAAGTTGTTCAAGTCATTAATACAATACTCTTATTAAAGTATGTAAGAAAATTATGCCCTGTGTCATCTACAGGTCTGGCTCCAGGGACCGTGGTGATCACGGAAAAAGCAGTGGACTACTCTTTTCGCCCCCAGTTTGAACAGGTCGTTCTGGGTAAAGTTATCACCAGGAACACTGAGCTGGATGAGGGAGTGGCCAACGAGCTTCTGCAGTGCTCTTCTGAGCTTCAAACTTTTCCAACAGTGATCGGAAACACCATGTGCACCCATGACTTCTATGAAGGTACAGTATGAACAGAATTCCATTAAACATTTATTTGTAATTCCTAGTTGTCATCCCCTGACAAATCCTGTTTTCCGTTTCTGTAGGTCAGGGCCGACTGGATGGAGCTCTGTGCTCCTTCTCCCAAGAAGAGAAACTGGAGTATCTGAGGAAAGCTTATGAGGCCGGAGTGAGGAATATTGAAATGGAGTCCACTGTTTTCGCTGCTATGTGCCGTGTCTGTGGTCTCAAAGGTATTATTTTTCTAACAATGCAAACACTGTATGAAGGCAAAACCTTCTGAATGCTGCAAAGTACATCTTCTACTTGTGATTTTGACATACTGCACTATTCTAAAAACTCTCATTTCACTCTCCAGGAGCTGTGGTATGTGTTGCATTGCTGAATCGCTTTGAGGGGGACCAAATCACATCATCTCATGATGTTCTGGTGGAATATCAGCAGAGACCTCAAATTCTGGTGGCCCATTTTATCAAGAAACGCCTGGGATATATTATCTAACAATCCAGTCGCCCTGTAGCATGTACATAGTTTTGACTCATGTGGATATGTATATATATTGCACTTAAAATGTTAATACTGAAATATTTAAAAGTTAGACATTAAGATTTTTTTTTATGATTTATTTGACAATAAAATATTAAGCGTGTTGCATGTATGCTTATAGAGTATATGTGTAAGTATGTATTATATCTACTATATTTATCTAGAAATATATCCTTGTAAAATAACACAAATGTTCAAAATGATATGTTCTGTATCTTGATCTCCATGTTTATCTCTGCCAAAGCTGGAATTACAGTCCAGCAAGAAAGGAGATTACTTTGAATTTTAAGGGCTTGTGTTTAAGACCAAGAAACACACTTCAATGAATTGAAATAAAAATATCACGTCTGGACATTTTTGCAGATTTGGAGTCTTTGAATTGTCTTTTTTTTTTTTTTGGGGGGGGGGGGGGGGGGGGGGGGGGGGGGGGGGGGGGGGGGGGGGGGGGGGGGGGGGGGGGTTGTTTTTTGGCTTTTCAAGCAATAAGTGGTTCTAAAACTGATCTTTGAGGAGCCTCAAGTCATTTTAGAGTGAGAAATAACTATCTGTTGCTACAAAAAGAGATACCAGTGACAGTGGTGAAAAACACCTTCTTACATGCTTTTTTAGAAGAAAATTATTCAGCAATTTTTTTTAGATTAGAACTTCCAGCAGTATATTTTAGTAAATGCGCTATCAAATATTTGAGGATGTTAGTAGCTTCTGCAACACAAGATTTTTTTATGCAAATACAACCCACCCTAAAATGCAGTCCGTGACTAAAGATTGATTTGTCTTTTTCTTTGCTCAACACATCTGCCAGATACTGTATGTATTTCTCATATATAAAATCTACAAGTTAGTAATTGTAATTGTCATTTGGAGGACGATACTGTAGTTAAAAAAAACTACTTTGTAAGAACTGCAGCTGTTGTAAGCACTCTTAATTAAATACCATGAAAGATTCTTACACATGAAGCAAATTCATTATAAGCCATATGTTGTTTAATATTGGGACAAGAGTGGGACTTCATAAGATGACTTAAACAAAAGTTGGGTCAGAATTTAAGTATGGACCTTGTGTCTCGCCGAGGTGGTTTGGGGGGCTCGATGACAGACAGAACCTCTCTGGCATACTGACTCTGGTGTAGACCGACCTCCCGCAGAGCCTGCTCAACCCGCACTCTTGGATCAGACACAATCTGGAAGATAGATTTTTTTTTTTATAAACACAGCTGCTTTATGCAACCTTTGCTGTTTTTAATGGTTCACTACACATTTAATACTTGACATAAGGTTTGATCATTAATTCATCATCATTTGGTGACAGAAGAGAAAAGCATCACAGTCTGACAATCATTAGTCAATACCTATATTACACAATACCCAAATCCTAACCTGTTAAAACAAAACCACACACAGACTCTACAGTTCACTGACTGACTTTGGTGGCCTTGAAATTAAGACTGTTGAGGACAAACACTTTTTGGCCAGCCACCCAGCTTACATAATTTTCCACCAGTGCATGGGTCACTGGTCAGTGTCACCCAAAAGGAACTGAAACTTAAGTGACTTAATGTAACGAAGGAAACGTGAGTGAGGGAGTGAGACGTCATGTAGGCTCAATACATACAGAGCAGAGATAAGAGGACAGGGGCAAATGATCATGCAGCCTTAAAGACTTTGCAAAGAAAGTGGTTAGGAGGGCAGATCCTATCATGTCTCACCTGTGTGTCTGTGTACGTGTTTATACTGTAGAGAGGCTTTTGGAGCTCAAACTCGTTTACATTCAAGTGTCGACACTTCCAAGCCTCTGTGTCTGCCATCATCCTCTCTGGGTCTGCCTCTGCCACCACCCCAACCTTAGAGAAATAAGAAAAATATACACTGGATTTACTAATAATATACAATTGTCTTTTTACTTACTGCCATAAGGTGGCAGTGATGCCTTTACTCAGATAAGGATGAGTCAAGTTTTTTTCCCCTGTGAGTTATTTCCACTGACAGAACTAATCCAAGTGGTTGAAAGACCAGATAATGCTCCACCTGGTTTCTAAGAGCTTCCAGACGATTCTGTCTCTCTTCTTCTTCTCTCTGCCGCTCAAGCTCCCGCGCCTCTCTATCCAGCCGTCGCTGTTGTAGCATATCTGCCCGAAACTGCACCCTAGAGGAAGCAGAAAAGGTGTGGACATCAGACCTAAACAATCCCTTTCTTCCTCTGCCACTGCCACAATCAACATTACATATTGCTCCTGACACAGCAGACCTCCAGGCTGTGGAGGGCTCTACGGTGCTGCCAGAGTGCAGCTCCTCTCCCATCACCTGCTTTTATCTCTGTCTCAGCTCCTCAATGAATCCCTTTCGCATCTGAATTCATTCTCACAGCCAAAGTCAACAACATTATACGGATTCAATGTGAGTGTGTGTCTGCAGAGAAATTAAATGGAAACCACACCACGCAAGAGAATGTTTTTAAAGGCACGTTTTATTTTTCAGCAGCAAGTTAACATTAGTCTGAGACATTAGTTTTCCTGTTGAAAGTTTCCAGTGTGCTCACGTCTGACTGACCCCGCATCACTGATGAGGTGCGACATCTCCAGTGACTCAGCAAGGGTCGAGCATGGAGGTGTTAGAAAGTTGCAAATATTCAGAGAAAGTACTTGTAATGCTACATTGTGGCTCAGGGGGTTGGGAAGCGTATCTGTAACCGGAAGGTCTCCGGTTCGATCCCCGGGCTCTCTGTCCTGGTCGTTGTGTCCTTGGGCAAGACACTTTACCCTACTTGGTGTTGGCCAGAGGGGCCGATGGCGCAATATGGCAGCCTCGCTTCTGTCAGTCTGCCCCAGGGCAGCTGTGGCTACAACTGTAGCTTATCTCCACCAGTGTGTGAGAGTGAATGAATAGTGGCATTGTAAAGCGCTTTGGGTGCCTTGAAAAGCGCTATATAAATCCAATCCATTATTATTATCAGAGCATTCTTTTCATTTAAGAAACTACAATCAGCCGTGATTTCTGATTAATACTATGTTTTTCATTTAGCAGTACATATTCCTGTGTATTCAGTAAATATTTTATGATTGATATACACTAATACATTATATATACCTGTTCAACAGCTGATTAACACAAACATCTAATCAGCTACTCACATGAGTTACAGCTACATGTCTACATTTAGGTATGCAGACACGGTGAAGATGACCTGCTGAGGTTTAAAGGAATCATCAGAATGGGAAAGGCCACTGATTTAAGTGACTTTGAACATGGCATTGCTCTTGGTGCCAGATGGGATGTCTGAGTATTTGAGAAACTGCTGATGGGCTTGGATTTGTCCACACAACTATAGAATTTACAGAGAATGGTCTGAAAATGAGAAAATACGCAGTAAGTGCCAGTTCTCTGGGAGAAAATGCCTTGTTAATGCCAGAGGTGAGAGGAGAATGGCAAAGCTGCTTTTGAGCTCATAGTAATGCATCATCAACCCAAATAACCACTCCCTGGCATAAAGGTATGCAGAAGAGCATCTCTGAATGCAAACACACATTGAAAGAGGAAGCAGATGAACTACAGCAACAGAAGAACACACTGAGTGCCTCTCCTTTTACTAAGAACATGAACCTGAGGCTATAATTTGGACTGGCTCACCAAAATGGAGTTCACTGTACTCAATTGGCCGACATAATCAACAGATATCAATCCAATAGAAGACACTTAGGATGTGGTGGAACAAAGGATTCACATTATAGATGTGCAGCCAACTAGTCTGCAGCAACTGTGTGACGCTAACTTATTGATATGGACCAAAATCTCTAAGAATGCGTCCAGCACTTTGTTAAATCTATGCCATAAAGAATTAACAAAGTTCTGAAGGTAAAAAAAGCGGTTCAACCCAGGTACAGAAAAAAGTGTACCTAATACAAAGTGACCACAGAGTGTATGTATAAATATTATATACATATAATTTCTTCTTTACATAGGATAAGACTATGTAAAGAAGAAAAAATATAGACACTGTATTCTTAAGTTTTGTGTCCATGAAAGTTCCAAAGTGTATTATTTAATTAGTCAATGAAAAGACTGACTAATGATACATGATACAAATGAAGGTGAAATGGTAATAATTTCCTGTTAATACTCTTGAGTGAACTCTGTCACTCACTGCTTACAATGGAAATTATGTAAAAATAATTTAGTAACTGTATTTGTTCAAAGTGCTTCACATAATAATAAAATGCAGCATGCTAGATTCCACTTTTTACTCGAATGTATTTTTCAAATAGACATAGGTCACTTGTAAATTTTGGACAACACTGTGAATTCCTGTGAGTGATCGCCCAAATTGCACGCATAAAGTGGCTGACTAAAAACATGTCATGGCTGTTTTCTGAATTACTCAATTCAGAAATTCTAAGGGTTCTGAGCTGCCTTTAACAACCTTGATGCACTTGGCAGCGCTGAAAACTCAAGGTCCCATGGTGCAACACTCACCTCTCCTTATCTCGCTTTGCCTGTTCTTCCATGACGCTTCTTAGATTAGCAAGCCTCTCTTGATCCCTCTGCTCCAGCACTTCTCTCCTCTTCTGCTGCTTTAAATAAAACTGTCTGACCTGGGGGAAAAAAATCAACAAAGACTAAAACTGAACAAGAACAGTGGCTACACTTCCACTAAGTTGACTCCCACGGAAACTCTTAGGATCATCATGTCCTATTGATTGAGACAGAGCAGGAATCAGATAAGTGTAAATAGAGAGAATGAGATGATATTTCAACGTCTGCCAGACTATTGTGCTAAATTATATGGAATCCAATGAGGCCTAAATGTTCTCATTAATCAGAATGTCTCAGGTTGCCTATACTCGCCTAGCAGACCCCTGAGGAGAAATTTAATTAAACAGTCAGACATACACACACACACACACACACACATATTCTGGTCTGTCGTACCTGTGGGTTCAATAACTAAAGTGAATAATCAAAATACCCATGTAATTATATCCACAGTGTGCTTTCAATTTGATATCCATGCATGCCCACAATTAAATCATTCAGATTCTGGAGCCATAAATGGCAAGAAATTTGAACGCAGTGAATTTTAAAAAAAAACCAAAAACCCTGCCATGGCGGAATTATTCTTTTATTTTATTCATTCATAAAGTCCTTAAATATAATGCTTTTTTATTTACCCAAAGAAACTCTATGGCATTTCTAGTACTTCTAAAAGAAAGAGACAATTACTTTCAGCGGTTGTTTTGTAGGCATTCAGTGATATTTCATTCCTTGAGAAGTCATTCATACACTCATCTGTTCATACACATGAAAAGGTTTTAGAACGAGCGCACATACAAAATGATTTGATGCTTTCAATACTGTACTGAAAGCATCA